TCCCCGCTGTTGTATGTTTTTTCCGAACCTCTCTTTTTGCCCCACTAACTAGTGACCTAATGCGCGCGAGCATGCTGTGATTGATCGGCGCTTTTGAACTGCTCGTTGACTGTACATGTCTTTCTTTGCCTTTTTTGGTCGTGTTGAACTGGTAGTCAGAGGCTTTACCCGTATCCTGCCCGGACTCATCGAAGTGGGTCAATCGCTTACCAGCAGCAATACTGCTATAAGTGCCTGTACGCTGTATCAACGTTGGCTTCTTGACCAAGCTACACAGCACGTCACGTCACTTATTTTTGCCTCCAAGGCATCTAATTGTTCTTATGGCCAACAGTTGTAGTGCAGATCTATATCCACGTGACTCTAGGCATCAGTGCGCCGAGTCACATAAAATGATGTCAGCGTTGTCTTTCTACAATATCAAGTTTCGTTTAAACACAAGATCTATTTATCATGCCTTCATATAGCAGTGAAGAGTTTTACGCAGACTGGCGCCATTCTGTGAAAGAAGACTTCGTTACCTCGTCCGATCAGCCTTACCCGTATGCCGACAACGGCCATCGCCAATGGAGCAATGAGCTTCACAAATTCACCTTTGATGAAATGGCACATCGTGGTACCGTAAGTAATGGTGGGAAGCATCTAGCCTTGGCAGTCAAGAACGACATTCATGTTGTTGACACCGAAACATGGGGCACCATTGCTGTTCTCAAGGGACATACTTCAGAGGTCCATGCCGTCGCCTTCAGACCTGACGATAGCAACGTGCTTGTTTCATCTGAAGCGGATTACAACCGCAGCAACATCATGACGTACCCCTTGATTATCTTCTGGAATATCGAAGAAGAGCGAGCAAAGCATCCCAACGATGATGACTCGTATGCAGATGCTGCTCAAGCTGCTGCATCAACTGCAGCCAAGAAATTGACAAACCATGGGGTCGACCTGACAGATGAAGAGTTAAGAAGCCTTGAGGAAGACCTTCAACCAGTTATCGATCGCGCGGCTGCGAGACACATAGCAAAACGACATGTTACTATCGACGGTCGACTGCAAGCCAGCTTCCAGGCTCAGATCTTCAGCCCTTCAGGGAAATGGATGATCTATCTGCCTGGAAGAGCACCTGGATCAAACAGAGACGACCCATGGGATATGCAGATTATCTCCACCGACACTCTTGAGAAGAAGTTTCTTCTCCAAGGCCACACCGACTCAATCATGTGGACAGGGTGGAGCCCAGACGAGAGTCTTTTTGCTTCCATCTCATGGGACACTACTATTCGTATCTGGGATGCCCACACCGGGGACCAGAAACATTGTTTTACGACTGAAACTCAGAATTGGACAGGCGGCTTCAGTTCTGACATGAATTACTTTGCGGCAACGAATGGGCAAGGCCACGTGAGAATCTTTTCACTGCCCTCAGGCGAACTGCATTGGATGTATGAAGGTCAAAAAGGTAATGGTTGGAGACGAAGCGTCGACTGGCACCCAAACAACCAATGGCTTGTCGTTGGTGGAGAAAGACTTGGGGAGATTTTTATCCTGGATGTGATAGAGAAAAGGCGGACACAGAAGAGAGTCTTGTCCACAGACGATTGCACAAGGGACGAGGTGTATCGCGACATGATGAAGAGGATGTTGGTTGCCCAGAAAGTGCAGTTCTTTGACGGCGGCAACAAGTTGGCAGTCTGTACGCAGGGTGATAGTAGTATCGAGGTGTATGATATCAAACAAGAGGTGAAATGGAGATTTCCCAGAGGCGGGACAGACGATGGACCGGAGGCGGAGAAATGGAGGGGTGAGAATGGGAAAGTCACGAGCAAAGGAGGGCGCGGCATGGTCGCATGGGAGGATCGCTCCAAGGATGTGTTGAGAATGGCTAGTCTTGACTTTGATGGTGTCCGTATCTGGGAAGTGCCACTGACTGTGTAAGAGATTGATATGAAGGCCTTGTACACACGATGAGGGCAATACTGATGGTCTGAGGAAGAACAACGTTGATTGATAGGCCGAGGCGAGAGTGACTGACCAGGCGGCAAATACGGAACTCCTGGTAGGACATTGCGCAATTCTTATACAGAATGATAATGTAAATAAGAAAATGCAAAACAAAATTATCTTGGTCAATTTCTTCAACCTGCAGCAGTTTAATTGTGTTAGTGTAGGAGCATGGATTGTGATACGATTGGAAACAAGAAACCGCTGCAGAACAGAAAGTCCGGGGCAAAACAAGCCAGTAGGTCGGATCTTAATTGCGAGCCATCTGAGCCATTCCCCTCTTGTTTTCGCCTTAGATTAAAGCTTATCAGATGGCGCGAGCTGCGATTACCTGTCATTCCATGGCATGGAACTTTTGAAAGAGGTTATGCAGTCGGTGGAATTGAACCCCGACCACATACTACAGGGGCATCAACCACTGGAAGACCAACAAGCATGCTTACCAACAACTGTACCAACAGCTTTTCGAAGCAGCTTCCTACTCGGGAAATTGATCTCGCTTATGTTTGAAGATGGGATGCGATTGCATTCAATTGCTTCATCCGTCCAGTTTTCGCATATGTGAGATTCGCACATCCTGAGGAGTTGGAGATTGCAGTGCGCACTCTAACCTTACAGTGCACACCACCCCTGTAGTTCCAGGCCCAAGATGGCTTCTTTCAGTGGGCAGAGCGACTTGCTTGAGCTGAACGAATCAGGCTTTGACTTTAGTGTTCAATTCGAACAATTGTTCTTCTCTATCATTCCATCAGCTTGTTTCATTGTCTTCTCGATATGGCGTTCACTGAGCCAGGCTAGAAAGCCCACTGTGGTTGAAGCTCCTGTGTTCCAGCTCATTAAACTGGTACGACTTCGATGCACTGCTCATTGATGCCATACTAACAACGGTCCGACAGATCTCAATCGCGACATACATCTGCCTCGAACTATCGCTCGTTATTCTTGTCGCTTTGGGTACTTTTCAAGCCACTGGCATTTTTATAGCCTCTTCAGTTCTCAAGCTCGTTTCGGCTCCATTGATGGCCCTTCTGAGCCTGATTGACCATTGCAAGAGTCTGCGACCATCTGTTCTACTCAACAGTTATTTATTCCTGACGCTGCTTTTCGATGCCGTCCAAGCGAGGACATTATTCTTAACTTGGACAATAAAACCAGGATTGACTTACAGCAGTATTTTCACTACGACAATCGCTCTCAAGCTCGCCATTTTGCTACTTGAAGCTCAACGAAAGACAAAGTATGTGGTTTGGAACGAAAAGGAGCGAAGTCCGGAAGAAACGAGCGGCATCTTCTCTCTCGGAGTCTTCTTCTGGCTAAACAAGATCTTTCTGGAAGGGTACCACAAGGTGCTACGGCTTGAGGATCTGTTTCCCCTTGATACGTCGCTTCATGGCAAGCTCTTGCACGAGGAGTTCTCTAAGCACATGGACTACTCGAAGCTCAAGGCTAGCAAGTTGGGATTAGTCAAGGTATTACTTCGGACGCTGAAGATTCCTCTACTCCTACCAGTTCTTCCACGTCTGGCGCTTCTAGGGTTTACCTTTTGCCAACCGCTTTTTATCGAGAGACTACTGGCGCACTTATCCGAACCCAAGATCGGCAACAACATCGGATATGGTCTTATTGCTGCGAGTGTTCTGATCTACTCTGGTATTGCGATTTCTTGGGCACTTTGCTGGCAAGTCAATCAAGGGGGGTACTCAAGGCTGCGTTAACGCTAGGTGAATAGGTACTTTCACAACCGACTGCGTACCATGACCCGTTCAATATTGGTCATCGAGACCTACATCAAGGCTACTCAGTCTCGCATCGGAGTCAGCGACGACAACGCCGGACTCACTCTCATGAGCACAGACATTGAGCGCATTCACATAGGCTTGATACCACTCCACGACATCTGGGCTGCAATCATTCAAGTCGCTCTAGCAGGATGCATGCTCCACAACCAACTCGGCATCGTCTTCGTCGCACCAATGGCAGTAGTCGGCGTCTGTGTCGCATGTCTGATGCTGGTTATGAACTTTGCCGGTGACTCGCAAAGAGCGTGGATGAACGGCGTTCAGAAGCGTGTTGGTCTCACTGCTACTGTTATCAGTAGTATGAAGAACATCAAGATGTCTGGTCTTGCTGGTCCAGTTACTGCGTTTGTGCAGAAGCTGAGGGTTGATGAGTTGGCTGCTGGAGCAAAGTTTCGCAAGATCTATATCATTGCAGCGCTTCTTGGCTTTATCCCTCTGTTGCTCAGTCCCCCGTTGACGTTGGCATTTGCTCAAAAGGAGCTGGATGCGACACGGATGTTTACCAGTCTGGCTTACCTGCTGCTTTTGACAACCCCTCTATCGGATATCTTCCAGATGGTACCTCAGTTGGTGTCAGCTGTGGCATGTTTGGGTCGGATTCAGTCCTTCCTCGAATGTGAGACCCGTTCTGATTACCGTCAATTTCTCACAGATGCGGCTTTGGAGGAGGCGTTTACCAACAACACAGCCCCATCATCATCCACACCTAACGAGCATGTGCAAAATACCATCACCGTCACTAGTGGATCATTCGGTTGGAAGGAGAACACCTTCGCATTGGAAAACGTCAACTTGGACATAGCAAAGTCTTCTCTCACGATAGTTGTTGGGGCAGTAGGCGCTGGCAAGTCAACTCTAAGCAAAGCACTCCTCGGCGAAATCCCTTATCGAAAGGGCAGCGTGTCACTAGGAACCCGATCTCCCCACATTGGGTTTTGCGATCAAACCGCATTTCTCTCCAACGGTACAATCAGAGACAACATCATTGGCTTCTCTCCATTTGATCCCGAACGATACTCTGCAGTCATCAACGCTACGGTACTCGGTTATGACTTTGCAACGCTGGAACAGGGCGACCAAACCAGTATTGGCTCCGATGGTATTACTTTGTCCGGTGGCCAAAAGCAGCGCGTGTCTCTTGCACGTGCTTTATACCTACAGACCGACTTCTTGATTCTAGACGATGTCTTTAGTGGCTTAGACGCAGATACCGAGGAGCGGGTATTCCGTCGTGTCTTTGGACCCGATGGGCTTCTGAGACAGCGTGGAACGACCGTTGTTTTGTGTACACATAGTGTCAGGCATCTGCCGGCTGCCGACCACATCGTAGCGTTAGGCAACGGTACGATTGTCGAGCAAGGATCCTTTGCCGAGTTGATGGCGCGTCCGGGATATGTTCATTCAATTGGTCTGAGGAGCTCTTCCGACAGTGACATTACTTCGGAGAGAAGCACTTCTAAGGATCGCTCCGAGACTGCTAAGTTCGAGGTCGGTGTCGCGCCAGCTCAGAGTGTTCTGTCTGTCACCGCTGATGAAGATGGTTCGCGCCAACATGGTGATCGTAGCGTTTATGGACATTATACCAAAAGCGTCGGTCCCATCTTTGTAGTCCTGAGCTTGTTCTTTGCTTCGCTCTGGGGCTTCTTTACGAATTTCCCAACAATCTGTGAGTCCGGGATATCTCAAACTAAGAGGTGAAACATGCTAACCCTGTCTACAGGGCTCAAATTCTGGACTGACGATGTGTACTCGAGCACTCCCGCCCATGCCTACGGTTACTACGCTGGTATCTATGCTCTGCTGAACTTGTGCGGCCTTATTTCGCTTCTCCTACTCGGTATCTGCATCTTCATCATCTTCGTAAAAAGAGCTGGAGCAAGCCTCCATCACGATGCTCTGCAGACACTAACCCAGGCACCACTTCGCTTCTTCACAACTACAGATACCGGCGTCGTCACCAATTTGTTTTCGCAAGACTTGAACCTGGTCGATACGGAACTTCCATCAGCGCTTTTAAGTACTTTGTTTTCTGTAAGTTAATCCAAGACTACCCATTGAGATCTTGTGATTCTGATATGTATGAAAGGTCGCCCAAGCATTGGGTCAAGCTGCGGTGATGGTGACGTCCTCGCCATTCATCGCCATTAGCTATCCTTTCCTGATTGCACTGCTTTGGGTCGTTCAGAAATTCTATCTTCGAACGTCGCGTCAACTGCGACTCTTGGATCTAGAAACAAAAAGTCCTCTCTAGTGAGTATTACCAATCGATTGTGAATTTTGGCTAATGTTTATCAGCACACATTTTCTAGATACGCGCAAGGGGGTTGCGACTCTGCGAGCTTTTGGTAAGTAGAATGGCGAGCAGCCAACATGTTCCGTAATTTCAGCTGCTCTTTCGATAATAAACGCAGCCAAGATGGCCGGGTGTTTAAGGCGCTGCACTCAAGAAATGTGTTTCTTCTCTAGTTATCTAGGGTTCTTGCAGTATCGAAATATGCTTGGGTTCGAATCCCAATCTTGGCATTAATCTTTTGTTTTTTATCATCTTTCTTTAAGCTTTCCCTTTTTGGATTCGAGCTAGACATGGATCGATCCTGCATTGCGAGATATGACCAACCTCAACTGCTAACATGGTTCATCCAGGCTTCATCTCACAAGATATCGAAAAGAATGTGCACCTTGTCGACTCCAGCCAACGCCCAGCATACCTCTTAATCATGATCCAGCAATGGCTCAACCTCGTTTTGAATCTTATTGTCATGGTTATCGCTGCAATTCTGACCACCCTTGCGGTCCGACTCCACTCCAACACTGCTTTCACGGGTGCAGCTTTGGTCACTCTTATGAACTTTGGAGAAAGTCTCTCAGGAATCATTACCTGGTGGACAAAGCTTGAGACCTCAATTGGTGCTGTAGCACGGCTTAAAGCTTTCAATGAAAAGGTGAAGCCTGAGAATAAGGAAGAAGAGGATCGTGTTCCTGACGAGCAATGGCCACACGATGGTGCACTCATGATCCGAGATGTGTTCGCAAGCTATGAGTAAGTATCGAGTTTGCCCTTCTCTAAAGCTTGCAGTCATATCTAATGACTTTTTAGTCCTTCCGATACAGATGAGGTGGCAAAGATTGCCCTACGCAACATCAACCTCGAGATCAAACCCGGCGAGAAGGTTGCCATTTGTGGGCGAAGTGGTAGCGGTAAATCCAGTCTCGTCGCACTTCTTCTGAAGCTACTCGACCCATTATCCAGCAATGGTGGAGAAGTCATCATTGATGGTGTGCCCCTCAGGCAAATCGACCGGCCAGCCCTCCGGCAACGGATTCTAGCCGTACCTCAAGAAGCCGTCTTTTTACCTGACGGAACTACGTTCAAGCTAAACTTGGATCCTTTTGATGTCTCAACCCACGAAGAGTGTTAGTCTGTGCTAAGCACAGTTGGCTTGTGGCATTTCGTTCATGGACTAGGCGGACTGGACTCAGGAATGAGTGCCGATTCACTCAGCGCGGGACAACGTCAACTTCTTTCATTGGGTCGGGTACTACTACGACGCCGAGTCAGAGCTCGAAGCACAGGTCCGACGGGCGATGCTACAGACAGCGGTATATTGCTTCTGGACGAGGTCAGCTCAAGTGTTGACCATGAGACTGAACGAGTCATGCAGGAGATCATAAGGACAGAATTCAAGAACTACACAGTGGTAGCAGTCAGTCATAGACTCGATATGATCATGGACTTTGATACTGTCATTGTCATGGATTCAGGGGAGATTGTTGAAGTGAGTGTTCCTGAGAAGCTAGCACCAGAGCCTGGAAGTAGGTTTGGTGATTTGGTTCGAGCAGGAGGTAAATGAGTAAGGGCACAGCAAGATATGGATCAAGTTTTCTCACATGGGTTTGAACATTGCCAGTAAGGCCATCAGAAAATTTGATCACTGAGAGCATAAGATAAAAAATAGTTTGGTTACTTTGGGTCGACTCTTGGGCTACTTATATGTCTTTGACACCCACCTGGCACCATAATAATCCTTCCGCTGTCCAGTGTGTAGATCATTAGTGCTCACAGAAGGACCATTCGTTCGACCCGTAGCTTCTTATACTTACTTTGTCCTTCTTTCGTTCCCGCATGAGTTTCTCTCTTATTGCCTTTGCCTCTTCTAAGCCGATTGGATAAGTGACTTCTTCAGTGATCATATCCCTGATCTCATTCGGAAACAACCTCAGCGGTTCAGTTTCCATCACCTTCTCTGTCCACCAGTCCTTCTGTTGCGGAGCCACGTTGCCAGTCGAAATGATGGGAATATTTGGGTCAACAAGAAATAGTGCGACAATCTTGCGATGTCCGGGACGAGTTTTATCCTGCAGCTCAAAGGGTTGAACTTGGTGCTGGTATACATTCGGGAATATCAAAGCGCGACCTTCACGAGTGAGAACGCTACCAATTCGTTGCATCTTGTCTCCATCATTAGCCTTTATTGCAAAGATCTGCTCAATGCCGGCATAGTCGTATTGTTCGTGATGCAGCTCATCACTCAAGTCATCTCCATCTGCCCACGTTCTGAACGCAAGATGCGAATCTGTGACGTTCTCGCAATCATAATAATATAATGCCGTGGCGCAAATATGCTCATTGAATTGACCTTCAACATGCCACGATCCGCCGTCGTATTGTGGTTTCTCGGGCGTTAGATGAATATTAGCCAGCTTGACAATGACTTGAATACGAGACGTGTTGTCGAAGAAGTCTTGAGTTTTGATAGAGCTGGCATCAAGGGGATAGCTTCGCTTTGTGACATTTGGAAGTTTAACCGGGTGTGTTTCTTTGAACCACGCAGCTGCGGTTTCATCATAGCCAGGCTTGTCACGCGGGTCATGATCATCCGCATTGATGTTCATGTGTTGTTCGAGTATCTCTCTCGGGACCTTTCCTGGATGGCAGAGGTACATACGCCCACGAGGTGGTCCACAGTACTCAACTGTACGGCACTCTCGCTCGACCTCGAAAATCTCCTCCAATCGCTGAAAGTTGCTGCGTCGGGATGTCGAGCGACACACAAGATCCCAAGCAGGCACAGCTTTTTCTATTAATTCCTCGATGACAAGATATAGATCGGCATGTCGGACAGGGTGAAGATTGTTGATATAACTCATAATCCGTGGCGTCTTCCCTGTGATATCAACGTCGCAAGGGAGCCACTGAAATGCTGTTGATAATGCACGTTTTTCTGACAAATCCCGATGCCATGTGATACCCGAATACTCTCGCAATCTGGCTAGGCGTGGCCTCGAGGGTGTGGGAATAGTTGTACCCCCACCACAAAATTCAAGGCATTGGTTGAGTGGAATGTACTCGTCGGCAACGATCTGTGATCTCCCATAAATCAGCGGCCAAAGCGACGGATGAACCAAGTCCAGGACTTTCTCATCGCTACCTGGGTGCCAATCTCGACAGTACTCAGGGACGTCTTCGAGTGATGACACAGCAGCTTTAAGTTTCTCTGTCAGTTGAGACGTTAAGAGCTTGTCTGATTTGACTACACATGCGGAGTAATCCATGACAGGAATTAAGGAGGTTTCCTCGTACAGCCGCGCCTTCGCCACTAATTCGTCAAAACACTATAAATTGTTAGTGAAGGATCACGCTCCAGTGAACATCGTATTTGCCTACCTTTTGTGCCATCTCTTCTGTGAAGTCGGCATTCTTCTGAAAACTCTCCCAAGGCGCCTGAAGAGCCTCTTGCTTCCACTTAGCCACAATTTCTTGGTCCTGTACCTTGATCCACCATTCAGGTTTATTCGTGATGGCTTCAATCAGCTCGAGCATACACACTTCGCGATTCGTCAATGTTCGCGCATGCCAGTCTCCAGGGTCGAGTCCCAAAAGAAACGGCTGACGATTTTTGCTTGTGATCCCATGACTTAGCGGAAGCCCATATCCTGGCAACATCAAAATTCCATCTTTCTTCTGCAACACACATCAGTAACCACGATCCATTCTTGCACGACTATTGACGCATAACCACTTACTGGGGGACCTTCAGTTAACCTCTTGTCCCAACATTCTTCGATACTGGACCAAGGTTCCCGATACCTCTCCTCATGATCGATGGTGACGATAAGGGACTCGGTATACTTGTTCTTGATCTCTTCTAAGCTAGGCAAGGGATCCTCCATCTCTCTAATGCAAGCAAGGAAGGCTCCATGAAAGAAATCCTCGAGATCTGATGTTTGATAGAATCTTCGGCGGTATGACGAGGTTCCACCTATGACAATGAGAGGCGACGATGGTGGTTCGTTATCTGGCTCTGGCGTTTCTAGGTAAAAGATAGGTGATGAGGGTTCATCCTCCAGCATATCCTCAGCAGATACACGTACAGAGGATACTGATTTGCGAGAGGGCAACATGACTACAGTGAGGCAGAGATAGGTGTGTACGGCAAATAGAGAAGAAGAATTTGGTTTCTAATTATCTACCCATGCCCCATTCACGGTTTTCCTAAGCGACCCGCGTGATTTTATGAGACGAGCCAACCAACAACATACCGTGCACGAGTCAAGAATGGATCTGTAACGTCCATATTAATCTCACATAAAAGGCAACAATATGAATCGTATAGGTTTAAAGACATCATGTTACCTTTTATAATCAAGACATATAAGTAGTAAGTGTCAGGTAGAAGATGCTGTCGAATTGACCCCAAAATCTGCATCGTGAGTCCTGAGTCATAACCTCGGATCCAAGAAGGAACCCTGACTCAAGGCTCCATCAACAGCAGGCAGCAGCTACGGGGCCGAGTCGGACCAACTGTTGATCCTGAAGACAAGCAAACAGTCAGCACAGAAATCTGAGCCACAATCAAGACACCCTAGTTGACCACTCGTTTTCCGCGCATTTGTGGGTCTTCTCTCTCTCTTTCTCGCGCGAAGACGGGCGAGGGACGAGACAGTGGAGAAAAGGGCGAGATCCCTGATTGGCTAACCAGAGAGCGAGAAAAGAGCGACAACAATTTGACAATGAAGATGAACATGATGAGAGGCAAAGGCATTGTTGAGGTGCCATCTTAACTTGAGATAAATAAATCAATAATCCTCGCCAAGAATGGAGTTATTTTTTGAACAGTATCAACCATTCACAACACATTTTATACACACATTCTATCTCTACACACATCCAAATTCACACCCAAGATGACCACTCATACCATCCGCAAAGTCGTCTACTCTGCCTTTGGCGGTCCTTCCAACGTGAGCGTCATTACAGCCCAAATAGCTCCTCCTTCAAAATACGAAGTCCAATGCGATGTCATCTACTCTGGCTTTTCTGGCGCTGACATCCAAATGCGAATTGGCACATACCCCATGCAAAAGAGCGCACCATTGACACCAGGCTACTGCTTCATCGGTCGTGTCAGCACTAATGGCCCCAAATCTACCAAATTCCGCCCTGGCCAAATCGTCGCAGCTCTCACTGTCTACGACTCAGAGGCTCAAAAGATCAACGTTGCTGAAAAGTACTTGATCTCAATTCCTGAACATGTTGATATGCGTCAAGCACTTGGTGTCATTCTGGACTGGAACACCGCTTATGGCCTGGTTTATCGGGCTACGGATCTGGTCAAGAAGGGCCAGCGCGTTTTCATCCACTCCATCAGTGGGGCTGTTGGTTATGCCACCATGACCCTGTGCTTACTCGAAGGCGCTGAAGTTTATGGTACCGCGTCAGAGCGCAACCACGCTTCGCTGCGGGAGCTTGGAGTAACGCCATTTACATACAATGACAAGAATTGGATGGCTGAGATGAAGCAGCGCGGTGGTGCGCACGTTGTCTACGATCCAATTGGCTTTGAACACTATGATGATTCATGGGACATTCTCATCCGGAATGAACCCAGCCGCCTCGTCGGGTTTGGCGGAAACATGAACATTCTCCAGGGCGAGGACGCTAAACCGCGATCGCAGTTCCTCCCGCAAATGAAGCTCTTGGCCAAGAATGGATGTCCCGTCTCACGAAGAAGCACAAGTTTTTACTACATTGACCGTGACCGTTCGACTTACATGGAGGATCTTTACGCTGTCATGAACATGCTTATTGATGGGAAATTTGTGGTGCCGATTAAGAAGACGTGGGACCTGGAGAACATCAGAGAACCTCATGAGAGCTGGGGTAAGATCCCTGGAGTCGGTTCTTGTTTCGTTCGCGTGGACCCTAACGCTGCTCTTTGAGAAGGGTGTCGATGATCTGATCGGTTTGGCTAGCTTAGCGAGAGATTACTTAATACAAATTTGTACTTTACGTCCTACCCTAAAGCCAATTATGTAGAATCTAATTAAGGACTTTTGCGATAACGAGTATATCTATCATCGGGAAAATAGTACTCATCAGGCCCTGTGCTACTTAAATAATGATATCTAAGTTCATATTGTAAAATCTTGTACTGGTTGGGGGTTCTTTAAATACTACTTTTCGTGATGCAATGATATTTGAATCGCTTCAAGAATTCTGTCCAACTCAGGATTATCGAGAACTAGATTTTCAGCCCGGAACAGCTTTGTTCCGGGTGGAATACCAACGGACTAGGCTTAGCGCTTCATGACGCGAACGCGCTCCACGCGACAACGCTTTAATTAAAATTGCGTCATACGGACGCGTCTTATACAAAGGTTGGGGGCTTACTCGCGAGTGCTAAATTTGAAAAGAAACGACAGACATGCTTGAGTCCCCATTTTGGACAGTCAATCACATGCCTCGTGTGAATATTCCTGCTAATGATGGAGCGTTCAATTTGGGAATGAACTTACACGTGATCCCCCGAACAAGAGTGTTGTTCGTTGCGTGCAGCGCTGAGTAGCAGAGCAGAGCTGCCGTTCAAGACAAGCTATTGCTGAGACGGAACGTTGAAGGAACAGGAAGCTTATAATACTGGGAACTTAAACAGAGTTCAGCTCTGGACAGTATCGTTGTTGCCCAAGTCATGGCCTCTACTACAGCTTGTGCCCTGGAACATGTAACCAGCTAGTAGAAACCGGGATGAAGATGGTGAATGTTCTGGCACGTAGGTAGACATTGATCAGAGATCAAACACAAGGAACACAGGTATGTCAACGCGGGACTGTTCACAAAGCATCACGTGTGATGAGTACTTAGTCCTCGTCCTTTCCACGAGCAATCTTGACTTCGTCTTTACTCTCTTCACCAACCTAAACAACCAGCTTTGCATCACGCAACTCTTCACTTGTCCTTCTATCTTCCGAACCACGACCCCAAAAACTCAGACAAGATGCACGGAATCCTTATCGATGTTTACAAGTGTGCCCACTGCGGTAACATCACCCAACCTATCATCCTGGCTGACCCCCTCTCGGACGACGTCTGCCCCGGTATGTTTCTTCTCTTCAAGTACCACCCTGGAGATTGCAAGATGTGCCCCAAAAGCCCCAACAGCGATACTTCTCTCGACCTTCTTACTGACATTGAGTCCCTTTTTGACCTTGAGTCTCTTGCTGACCTTGATTCACTTGATGGTCTCGAGTATGTTTTCGATTTCGAGTTCGTTGATGACTCTGAGTCTCTCGATGACTTTGATTCTCCTGACAATCTTGAGTCTGCTGGTGGTCTTGAATTCCTTCTGGATTTTGACTCTTTTGACTCTGTCTCTCTTGAACATCTCGAGTCTCATGTCGCTTTGGGCCTTTGCTGTGTCCTGGGTCTCGTCCTGATCTCGACACGACTTATGCTCTTTTCTATCTTCTTGATCTGGGGTCTCCTATTGCTCTGGGCCCCCTGTTCAGCTTGGCTCTTCTTTTGAGGCAGGCCTAGGTAAAGGTAGACTTTGATCTTAACCTTTCAGTCGATCCAGACTTTTCAGTCTCAACGGCCGCGGAGTAGACGACGTGTAGTAACAGAGAAGAACGAAAAAACAAAAAAAAAAAACAAGGAAAGTATGAAGAGAGAACGAAACTCAGCCCCCCTCCCCCCAGAAGGTAGGTAAATTTGGACCTTCGCTGACAGAGGATTGTGAAGTTGGGGGATAAAGAGAAACAGAGACGAGACGCAAAGTTGGTAGTAGCTTAGGTCTTTATTAGCAGAATTAGCTAGATTACAAATAAATTATATTTGTAGAACTCTGAATTTTTCATGCTAGAGGAACCTTACAATAGTTGTGACCATGTTTTCACCAACAAGTGGGAAGTACCCCTTTCGAAGAACCAAGCACACCAACACTGGAGAGATACCAGGCTTTTCCAAAAGAAGAGGAAAAAAGGAATTGACGAAGATGTTCGTCATTTATCGAATTGCATGCCACGTCAAGGGATCGAACCTTGGACCTTGTCATTACTAGTGACACGCTCTACCACTGAGCCAACGCGGCGCGTTCTGATTGGTTGAGAGCGAGCGAGCAAAATGCGATCCATAGAATTTACAGAGAGAAGAACTCGTGAGTATAACCCTGACACAATTGTATGGTGGAGGTTTACCACAAGGCATATAGCGACCTTCAACTCTTTTATCTGGTGTCCTCTTGTCACTTGCACAGTCCTGGATAGATGATCGAGCTCTTCTACTAAACTTGGGAGTGTTCTCTTGTATTTCTTCCTCTAAGACTAGGTCTTTCCCATCAAGTCAAGAGACATTATGCGTGCATAAGAATATGACTGGTATATCAGTGATTGTATTATGTTGTATCTTCGTACCCGGGGGGCTGATTGTGACATTGTGACGGAGCTCGCAGGGCAGTACGATATGTTGGTACTCTACTGAGCTCTAGCAACTCGTCCGAATCAGTGGAAACTGACTCGGACGAGCTACGCGATGGACTGGCTTGACTGTTGTTTATCCGGCCTGGTTCGAGACGAGTCCTGTTTTGTGCTGTGCCTATATCTATCGAGTCTGGCTGTGTGTTCTGAACAGGTCCTTGCAAAGTCTCAAGTGTACTGTAGAGCTGGTCAAGAACATGATCGCCATATAAAGGTGGTCCGACAAAGTCACTCTCTTGATTCACTGTGCTAGGCGATTGACTGGTCATATTTCCTTGATTATCGAGGTTGACCAATGGCGATATGAATATGTAGATGGGAATGCCCATGTCAAGCTGTAAAATCAGTTTCAGAAGGCTTTTAAAAGGAACAGAGGAGACTCACATGTGAAACGTGCCCATCTTGATTCCGAATGGGAATATGTAACTTGAGCTTATGGTAGATCTTTATCCCATGGGCGTCAATATCCTGGGAACATTCCGCTAGCGTCTTGGGAAGCTCTAGTGCTTGCTTGATGACCCAACCTTCTTGATTCGTTTCTTCAATATTATCATGCCAGTACTGCTCTGTCGAAACATCGATGTCCCAATGATTGACTTCACGCTGGCTCTTGTGTTCTCGAGTATAGACGTAATGCCTACTATGCATGCTGAATTCATGAAACTCGACCAATTTCACCACGATCCGTTGCAGGTCGATACCTTTGGCCAGTGGCGTAAGGCGTATCTCCAAAGGTACAGAGCCGCCGAACGTGACCGCTTTATTTGGTATGGATATCGAGTAGTCCACTTTGTTAACCCAGGTTTGCTCTACGCTCACGCTGTGCATGAACTCAAGAGCAGTCGGGGCCAACGTGCGGATGATTCGGAGCCTTTTAACGCAGCTGATATGCCGAGCTAGCTTGCCTCTGTTGATAGTTGCCCGTAGAGTATAGGTAATACCAGCGTCCGGAATACCTTCGAGGCTCTCTGGTGTGTCGCCTGGTAGGACGAGTTCGAAGGGCCACTCATAATTACCAGGTGGTAGGTTCATGCCTTTACCTCTAGCTCCTACGAGTGAAGGCCATTTGTACTTAAAGATGTTGGTATTTTGGGCTACACCAGGATCTGTCAACCACCTTGTCGTCTTATCAGCCTGAAATCTTCCGAACGGGGAGGAGAAAGGGTTCAAGAGTGGAGGAAAACTCACGAGTGACGAACTGTCCCATCCAAGCGGACTCTGACGTCTTCAAGCTTGAGAGGCGACTGTAAGCAAAGAACTACGACCCCCTTGACGATCTGATCTGAAGATTCGTATTGATTGCCCCAAAAGACAACAAAATCTCGTTCAAGTCTGTTCAACGCCGTTAGACTCAATGGTCCAGCGAAATAGGTACGAGAAGTACGAGATACCTGATATCAAATAAAGCATATGGCGCTGACATGTTGTTATGGTGAAGAAGAACTCAGAGGGTGGGTATCACAGGGGAAAACATGGTGTTGACATAGATCTAGCGGTGTAGACAGGGCGAGGCGGAAGGCCATTCATAATTAAACGATAATATAGTATTATGATACGACAAGATCCGTCATGATAAGTGCATGTGGCCTAAAAATACAGATTTCTGTTGGGAAGGTCTGGATTCAGCCCAATGCCTCGGCTTATGTGTGGGTCGATAGTTATACCTGGTTTCGGTCATGAGCTGATGTCAGAATCTGATTCAGTGTGGCTCTCGGAATCGCCGGCATGGGAGATGAAGAAGACAAGGAAAAGAATCTCTTGAATGGCCACATGATACGGTGCTTTTGCTTGGTTGGGGCGGTCTTATCGCCGAACACTTTTGCATGTGATCAGCCGAAACTGCATCCCACTAAAATTATCACAAAAGAGACCAAAGACCAATGATATCGCCAGGTCTCTTGACTTAATAGAATATTAGTGCCTACTTAATACGATATGTCTTCGTGGAGCAGTTGCAAAAATTGCTGGTTGCCTTGAAACCAGTCACCGATACTGAACAATTCATCCCGTCCCCCATTGAACATAACCTCTCCAGCTCTCCCATCTGGCAAATTAATCACTTCAAGATCTTCCATGGTCATATCACCAGAGCTCGGCGCTGTTAAGCTTCTGTGCGCCGAGGTTGGGCTTAGCTGGACACAGAGGTGTGCAGCTTGGCTGAGCAATTGGTATAGTCGATACGGATGAGTCGCTCCCTTACTGTTGACGTTGTCAGACTCAAATGAAGCAGCAAATCTGTCCAGTCGGTCTAGATCGTCTGTGTCTGCCTGACGTATCGCATTCTCGAAAACGATGCTGAACGGAAAGAAAGGTGTATGTAAGATAGCCCTTCATGGTAATGTTAGCATACCTAAGGACTATTATTCTGAGCAGGGTACATACCAGCTGATGTATCTCTTGATCAGTAAAGGGTCTTTACACCCATTGACAAGTTTCATGCACTGCTCGTGTAAGTCCAACGTATTGCGCGCAACAGTGACACATCTGTCCATAGCACTCGGGTCTGTAGAGCTGGGAATTGCTTTGAGAATCATCCCCATCAAGGATGACTGGCAGACTAGGTCGCAGTGTAGGTAGATGACCCTAGCAGGATCCTCAGCATTGCCACTGTTGCGATTCAATGCCTCCTGGAAATACTGTGTCAGATAGTTCATACTCTCACATGGGTCATTCTTACCGCGACATCTGCCTGACTTTCGTCTATGATCGCTTGGACCTGCTGCGCAAGAACTTGGGCAGCCTCTCCGCGCGCATCATCCGTTGAAGCAAGTCCTGCTGGACTATATAATTGGTTGTATACCTTTCCTTGGATACGTCCAAGCCGGATAGCTCTATGCTGGTTCGGCTTAATGGGTAAGGTGATATCAGAATCTCTGATACCGGAGCACCGACCTAACCGCAGTGACAAACTATTCTCATAGGTGTATACCGCCCAGAATAATTGAGTCTGTATATCCTTGTCGCCTCCCGAGTATCTATCGGCTCGATGATAGCCCAGTGTCTGACAAGCTGTCATTGCATTCGAGATCAGTATCCAGGCATGTGATACTCTGCCCTCCTCAACCATATACAAAGACTGCAAAGAATTAGTTCTTGTCGGACATTATGGATTGGGAAGACTTACTCCCAGAGTCAATGCAGTGACGACCTCTATGGATGGTGTCAATAGCAGAGGTAAATCTCCAACAAGTTTACCGACAAGTGTTCGGTGATGCTGGCAGTAGCTTCTGTATCTCATATCTCCATGAACGACACTGTACTCGGCGGAAATATATGCTATGAAGCTATTTGCAATAATCTTCTCTGGAAGGCTTGGTTCACCAACACCGAACCACACTTGAGTGCAGATGTCCAGCAGTTTATCGAGAGGGAGAAACCGGCAGATCCAGGAGATTCGGAAGTCGGAAGAATGTTCTGGAGGAGTATTAGCACTTAATCGACAGAAACCTTCTTTAACAACGTACCTTTTGCCCACCGCAAAATCCCGAGAACTGCCTCCAAATTTGGTACTGATGGAGTTTCTTCTAGATTATTAACCGTAAGCTCTGGTGAGGCCGGTTTTCTTGCCGACTGAGGGTTCTCCAAAGCATCAACAAGGCTCTTCAATGAAGTAATGGTGTCATCCCATTCAGAGTTAGGATAAGCTGAGGTACCCTCCTGAACAATGGACTTTATGAAATTGATGATGTGCGAAGAATGATCCCACTGTCGAAGAGGAACACTCCGAGGGGCGTCTCGACGCCTTGGGTGTTCATCGCCTTTCTTTTGGAGCGCCGGGACAGAACGATGCTCTTCCGGTGATGGTATGGCTGCTGTGCGGCTCAAGTCAAGACCCGTTAACAGGGACTTGATGTCGCTAACATCGCGAGAAATAGCGTCGATCTTTTCTCCGCTACCGAAGGTTATCAACGAGAAACATCATGGAATGAACAAGGCTTGAGTTACTAGTTGTCAGATACATGGACCCGTTGCCGAACGGCTGATGTTCTAGGCGCAATCCTGCTATAGTTGCAATCGACACGGGCGGATCGGCAGTTGGAGCAGGGAGTTCCTCCATCGCAACGGATCTACAGAAGACATTTGTCAGAATAGATTGAAGAGTAACATTCCAAGTGATAGACAGGACCTTTCTCGCTCGACATTGATCACACTGGTAAGCGCATTAGTTAATGTCCCGAGCTATCGGAACCGTGAGCGACTATACCGATCGTCGAATTATTGATGGTTTATTCGTAGTCTTCTCGTTGTTCGGAGACGCGCGGCTTTCCATAGTGGATATCTTGGTATTGAACAATTCAAGTTTGTCATCATACAGTGAATTATGAAGACCAAAAGGGGAGAAGTGATATGACAAAGCATCGGAACAGCGCGGAGATCCGCGCTAATCCGTGGGTGGATCACGGATCAACCAATCAACATCACGGATACTCTGCGTTGAAGTCACAAGGATGACTGCTACATGAAAGATGGGAAAGGAAAGGAAGTAAGTATAAGTAGTACTTCCCAGCTGAATTCAATAGATAGAACCAACAGCACAAACAATTACAATAACTTCACTCTGCACTTTCTCATCATGCCTCAAAACATCCTCATCACAGGAGCCGCTGGCTACATGTAAATGGTCCATCTACAACTTCGTTTCCCGTTACTGACATATCTGAAGTGGTGGCTCAATCATTGCTGATATCCTCTCACGAAAAGATGGGACTCTAAAGGCCGCCAATTTGTTCGCGGCTGTTCGAAGCCAAGAACAGGTTGATAAGATAGCCAAAATCGGAGTCCAAACCATTCAGCTCGATTTGACCGACAAGTTGGCTGTTGAAGAAGTAGTTACCGAGAACGAGAGTAAGTGTTTCAATTTCGTCCCAGTTTAGTAGGTTAATAAGATACAGTCAATCTCGTCGTCCACACAGCGAGTGGTATGCACCCGGCCATAACCTCAAACTTACTCAGTGCTTTGGGAGGACGCCGTCAGGCCAGTGGTTCAAAGACGTACTTAATTCATGTATGTTTAGATCCTTTGTCATGTGGACTCAAATAACATCCAGAAAGTCATCCATTGCAACTATGTTCACCGAGGAAGGTGGCTGGCCTTACGGCGAAATCAAGGACAGCGATCCCATCCTGGTCAAGGAAAAGGAGATTGGGTTTGATAACCCTGTACGAGCAGTATGTCGCTCCCAAGAGAGATAGAGACATAATAGGCATACTGAAAAAGGAAATAGACCAACAGGGTTCTTGCCGAAGAAGGCAAAGCACAGGGCGTAGAGACGTTCAACGTTGCTGTTCCCATGACTTGTGAGTATCTGTCGCAACCTCAGGCCGGTTGACCAAGCTGACTCTGTTCCAGATGGCCGTGGCAGCGGAGAGTGTAGGAAGCTCTCAGTGAACAATCCAGCCATGATTCGAACAAGCATCAAACTCAAGACAGTCCATAAGTTCGATAAAAACGGAGTGAGCATCCCCTCCCACGGTGCCTCATTGAATAGATTCTGACCTGTATGCAGCACTTTGGTACTGTCCATATCTCCGATCTGACTGACATCTACGTCCGAATCGCTAGCAAAATTCTCAAGGATGAGCCCATCGCTGTTGGTCACGATCGCTATTTCTTCGCAATCGCCCACAAGGCACACTGGTGGAATATGATGGATAAGGTTGCTGAAGGGCTTTACTCTCGCGGCCTTGTGACAGACCCAGAGGTCAAGCTTTGGTCGGATTATGAAACAGCAGCTGATAGTCTTGGCTTTCCACGAGCGTACGTTGGAGCCATGACCACGCATGGGTAAGTGAACTCCGAAGCAGGGATGGTGCTATTACTGACAAGCCAAAGCGGCCAACTTATTCCCACCAATGTGTACGAGTTGGGATGGAAGCCAAAGTGGGATTCCGAAGAGAAGTTTCTCAACCAGATTGATGGTGAGATCACGGATGTTCAAGAGCTGGATACTGTCAAGATGTCTCTTTTCGACAGTCTTGTTGCGGAACAGTCCAAGTAAACTCGATTCTCGTAAGCTGGAGCTTGGATATAGCATCATATACACTCGCTAGATAGAATAAAAGCCACTCTTGGCTCATCGATACTTCTTCCAGAACAAATAGGGCTGCAAGACCACGTTTCCATCCGTTTTCGTCTCTTCAATTCACAACAATCTATGTCATTGTGACCAGCACTTAATAACGTCTCCTCAAACCGCCACTTTCAAGGTCAATTGACGTAGAAATAACCTTCTCTGACGTCCCAGAAGATAAAGATGGGGTGAAGATCTCTTGCCGATCACGAGTAATGAGGTATGTGAAGAAATACGTCACTGCAACCTGTCAATCGGATCGGTGGGTATCGCGGCTTGGGGTCTAAGTGGGACATCACCACCAACCTTGGCCATGGCGGCGCCATGAAAACTCTTGCAATCGACTCAAACCTTTCACGATGCTTTATGAAATACATATTCGGCATATCCAATTTTACTTTAGCAATAGAAGAGGCCTCTCAATCCATCGTCTTGATCGGAACTTTTCCAGACAATAAAGACTTGGCCCGTGTTCTCGCCCCTGGATCGGGTTCCTGCATTATGCAGGTGAACACACTAAATCGACGTCGAGATCGCCACAGACTTCATTAACCTATGTCAATAAGGAAAAGCTCCAGGCCATAGCGAGGGGACCAGACCAGGGACGATCCGAGACCCTCTTCTGTCAAACCCTATCTCTCCCAGAGCGGCCACAGACCCCTGCACTCAGGAATGCGAATGTCGTCTAGCAAAACCCTATCAGGTAGCCTCGCCCTGGCTAGTAGTTTGGTAAAGAGCAAACTGATTTGCATTTCGATAGAAGTGAAAGCCGGGCTCGCCACAAAGTGGACGCCATCGCATTCCAGTCCCAGATCGTGGGGACCGCATCCAACTTAGTGCCATCGTGGAATGAAGCAATAAGACATGGACGCATCCATTTCTGTTACTTACGATCGAATATCTGTCTCACCTTGTCTCTCATTTTTTGGTGTAGATACCTTGCACGTTCATTATTGACCATGACTCTAACAAAGGCCTTCCCACCGCCTCCCGGGCAGACTGTGCTGGTACGTTCGCGTCTCATCGCTCTGGTATGTCTGCTAACATGTGCTACAGGCAGTGACATTCAGCCTCATCGCCTTCGCGGCTGCGATTATCGGATTCAGGATTTACCACCGATTGAGGGTACAGAAGCAACGACTGGTTGCGAGCGACTATTTTATGATCCTGGCTTTATGTGGTGCCATTACATGCTCTGCTTTCGATGTTATCTTTTGGATGCGCGATGTCCTCCGACCACGAATGAGCGTTGGATTCGAGAATTACAACCCGGGTGAGGAGCTTGTCGAGTACATTTACAAGGTGAGACATTCAGGGAACAGAGCATCTGAGGGAGCACAGGCTGACCTCAATCCACAGTTGTCTTGGGCTAGTGAAATCCCCTTCTACGCGACCGTTTATCTTTCCAAGGCGATTCTATTGGCCTTGTACTTCCAAATCTTTCCCACCTTTATGGGAAGTCGCCGCAGAGCGCTCTGGGCTACCGTGCTTTACTGCGGCTTGGCTTATACAGTCACGTTGTGTATGCAGCTCTTCTCTTGTATGCCGCTTGAACGACACTGGTATGTTCGACAAGACAATGTCTCACTTCTGCAAATTTACTGACTGTTGCAGGGTTATCACCCGACCTCTTACTCCTTGTGACTGGAGATGGCAGGGCGTCGTCTTCCAGGTCTCATGGGCGCTGGCCTTCCTGGGCAGTCTTCTCAGTATGTTTAACCTATTATATTCCATTCATCACGCACTAACACGATGTCTAGTTCTTATTCTACCATTCATGGTTATACACGACCTTGACTTGACCAAGAGAGCCAAGACGTGCTTGTATCTTGTATCCTTGATCGGTCTCCTTGATATCGCCATTTCCCTCATCCGTTTCCTCAACGTTGAGCTCGGTGACGGAAGCGAATTCCGATCCTTCAGCACAATTGGTAAGCACCCCACACTATGTCTCAATACCTCATCTAACCTAAAACAGAACTTTGGAGTGCTCTCGACGTCAACATCGGTCTCATCACAGCCTGTCTCCCCGCCCTCCGTATCCTTCTCGGCCGCACCAGAAGACCGGACAACTACACCTTCGACGAAGCCAAGACGGCTCGTTCCTCCCGCGCCATGGAGCACCGGGAACTTGAAGAAGTTGAGGACTCAACCTACTTGGGTGTCAAGAATAGTGCTGGCCCCTCACGCTCCAACCGAGCTTCCATGTACAGCGATAATGGCGCTTTGACCCCTATCAAGATGCTCGAGCCCAAGCCTGAACCCAGAAGGGAGCGTAAGCCAAAGCCCCCTGGACCTGCTTGGAAGGACTACGAGGAGGAGGATAGCGATCTTGAGCTTGAGAACATCAACGTTGAGGCTCTGAACAGAGACCAGGCCCAGTCGTACTGGTCGGTCCCTTAGACTTTCTTTTGTTAGAAATACTCATGTATCAATATGTCTGTCTTATCACAAAGCGTTACATTTTCATAGAAGAGATAGTTTGCCAAACATCAATCACTTTCACAATCTGCTATAAGCTGGTACACAAATGCGAATTTCTCTCTATCCCAAACTCTGGTGGGCAAGCCCATTCTCATAAGTAATTCTAATGTTGTTCACTCTGATGTGGCTTGACACAGGATGTGTGACGATCCTTTCCCCATGTATTCCCAGCCATCGAGGAGAATGTACCGTTACCGCATCGTCTCTAACGGTCTTTTCAGATCTCCCTGCCAGGCCAGGCACTCTATTTCGGAAAGGGAATAAATAATGTTAATTGACCGGTTGCAGCAGAATCGTAGAGACCGATAATTCAATGTTTGTTGCAATTACTTTCCACTTGGCTGACCTTTGCCTTTTGCGTCTGGCGTGTACCAACATGTTCGAAGCTGAACATGTTATGGAACAAGCTTTCCTTGCTTCCAAAATGTTGACAATTGCCGAGTTATCTTCTACTTCTCCTGAGATACAGGGGCTCGACGGCAGTGTCACAGCCGCTTAGTGACTATCTCTCTAACCTTGCTCAAATCCAAAGCCTCCACCGTCCTTCCCTTATATCCGGCCATGGTCTCCGCCATACACAGAACATTATAGATCGCTTCCTCAGTCGCATCGGCAACAGCCTCAAACACACCATTGATCGATTCATTCTCGACAGTCTCAACACTGACTGAAGAAGGCTTGTAAGGATCTAAGCCATCGTTAAAGCCTTGCATGGGGATCTTGGCAGCTGTAGAGAAAGCCAGGAAGATATCCCCTGAGCCGTTGCTTCCGTACCCACCAACGCGCGAGAGTCCGACTGTCGCACGCTTGGCTAATCTTTGAAGCTGGACTGGGAGGAGGGGAATGTCTGTCGCGACGACGATGATAATGCTGCCATCGGCCAGTGGTCCATGGACCCCAGCAGCAGCTGTTTTGGCGTCTTCTGATAAGATGCGTCCAACAGGAACACCACCAATCCGAAGGTCTTCCTTTTTGCCATAGTTGGCTTGAACAAGTACTCCGACAGTGTAGTCCTTGGGATTACCATCCGCATCCACTCCGGGAACAATTCGACTGCTTGATCCTGTTCCTCCCTTGAACCTATGGCATATCATACCCGTGCCACCACCAGTACAGCCCTCAGGTACAGCATCCGCTGAAGCCTTGAGAATTCCCTGAACAACATGTTCGGGAGTAACCGCAAATCGACTTTGCTTGTTTAAGTATCCATCGTAAGTCTCTGTGATGACCGGAAAGGTGAAGAGGTCCATATCTTCATGAGAAGTTGAAGCATAACGTATGACATAATCATACACGCCTCTGAAGGCCTCCCCGATAGATGAATTCGTCGTCAAGATAATCGGCGAGGTCAAAATGCCAGTTTCATCAATCCAGTGGGACCCTGTCATTTCTCCAGCGCCATTGAACTTGAAAATAGCTGCATGGCATGTGTATTTATACCAATCGGCTCTCGGTAGAATTGTCGTCACACCGGTATTTACGTCCTGATCAGGCTGTATCGATTCTGTGTGCACAAGAACGCCTGGAACGTCGGTGATGGAGTTGAGACGGCCTGGCTTCCAATTACCCAAGAATAATTCAGGTAAAAGCTCCCGGACACGAAGGCGTTTTCGACATTCTTCCATATTTATTATCTCAAGATAGGTTATAGATGGGTTCGGAGGAATATAATAACAGAGGTTAAGAACAGGCAGCCATCTTATGTAGACACATTTTATCTTAGATTTTCGCATTTCGAAAAAGTTCCCCGCATCTCGGGAAACTCCTTCGGGTTTGTCGTCTGACAGGTAGGTGCTCCGTAAGTTGGTGAGTTCTGTCGGAATCGCACTACAAAGAGCATTGCAAAATGTGCCCCCGAAAAACAAAAATCAAAGTATGATCAAGAGTACTGACACTCACATTGAAATCTTGTTTTGAACAAGCGATCTACCCAAAAAGTATGTAAGTCGAAGTAGTTCAGCATGACCTTCTGTTTTGACCTTGACGCGGCGTTGCTGTGAACTGGAAATGAAAGCGCCACATTAATATGTTAATTTGAACTGTACGGCTTGATAACTGACCTTCAAAATCGGAATCGCTAAATCAAAAGCGCCAGATCAATTGGATGAAAGATGTTTCTTTCGTAATATTTGTGAATTCGACATCCGATGTGCTTTTGGTGTTGGTTCCGCAGGGCTATAGGTTAACAAAGTCCAAGCGCTATCTTGAGTACTTCGGGTCCCACCCAAAACACGGGGTAGTTGAAGTACTATAGATACTAAGTTGCCTTGTGTATCGCAACGTCTACCTTCCATCGATAGCCTTAGATTTTGTGACAATTAGTTTTTAACAAGATCTTTGCAAGATCCTACTGACCATGTAAAGATTGTATGTCAGAGTACTCAACCTTGAACTTGTCTACTTCATCGTCAATCTTGAGTCCTTGAATGAATCAGAACATACTTGATACATAGATAGCGTCTTCAAGCATTCTAGACACCTTAATCAATTAATGGACTTGAAGCACGTGTGTGGATCAAGTCCGAGCGCTGCCAAGACTGTCATCGGAGTAGCTCCTGTGAATGAAGATCTGATATCCGTAATCTGACTGACGGGCAGGGATACTTGCCGGACCCATACCTATAGGCACTACTCAATGTCATGAGACCGCGTTATACTGACACTGACGCGTTTTCTTGCGATACGCGCCAGCTAAATATTCTTCCTGGTTTGTCTACAATTTATATCTACCGAGCGTGGGCTAGAAACGTGATTCTGCATTGTCTCTGGGGGAGGAATAGATTCTAGAGCGCACTATAGTTTGTGTCCAAATGAACAATTAAAGGGACACACGAGCAACTGATGAAAGTAGTGAGAGCCCTGAAACAAACATGACATAACATGATGATGATACTAGGGTACCTGCCTTATCTGGAAATAAAACAACGAACTGTTGAGTGGATCGGAGCATGGACAGCTTTAACATTGCCGATGACAACCAAAATATCGATCTGTCGATCCTTGACCGATGGCAACGCAGTTCATGACAGGGACGGCAACACCTCTCCCGAGGCTTAGGGTTCATAACCTCACCAGAACCTGGTGGTCAAATGAGAGTTAGTTGATACAAACACCGAGGCAAGGATGCTGTCGCAATGCCGTCTCAACTCGCAAGACAAGCTCCGTTTGTCGATGAAGTCGAAAGAGACAAGACTTGGCATTTCGTGTCGGAGTAAAGTGGCCGAGACATGACATTTGTTCACAGTGCACACGTCACCAGAGCTCTCGTTGAGTGACGCCATCTACAAGCTGATTCGCCGACTGCTACCGATGAGGCGCGATACCGTGCGGTGTGGCCTGAATAAAAAGGCAGCAGAGTCAGCTGGCTTTGCTTCGAGAATATGACGGAAGAAAGCGCTGCTGTTGTTCTGCTGCGTATGCCAATGCGTACAACGGAGCAACGCGAGATGATCTCGGTAGATCAGGAGATAGCGGTGATATCAGAAGGGTGGAATGTCATTATGTCGTTGGGAGAGGCGTGACGGTGACATTCGACATGTGGGTTAGGGTAAAAGAGTTTGAATTGAATTGCAATAACCTCATTTGACATGTTTCGACACTTTGACTCTCACCTGGGTCAATTAAATACTTTTTCGACATGATCTGAATCCACTGGACCTTCTCTCATTAAAGGTAAACGAGCTGTGCTTGAGAAAATAACACGACAACACTCCACGCCGACATCACCCAGACCTGACGTAGTATTCTGTCTAGCTGTCAAACTAATCCCTGAAATTGACGTCATTCGTCAAACTTCCTTGGAAGCTTGCATAACCAGTCCATTCATCGGGACAGCGCCGAACCCATTGATTGGCTACGGCCCAAAGAGCCTGCCGGGAGACATCATTACCGCTGAGCTTAATATAGACGGCTTGGTTCCTCAATTGCTGCTGTGCGAGGCGGCCATTAGTTACTCATCTCACCTGCAAAAAAATCTCTAACCATGCCGCTTCCAAATCACATGGTTTGCTGAAACGATTCTTCGGTTTGGCTATGGAACCTCAAGGGTCGAAGAAACTGGTTCCCATACTGCCCGCCCAACAAATTCCGGACCCGAACCGACAAGATGGCCGTGCTACCTCCGAGTCTTCGGTGACAGCCCAAGGCCAGAGGGTGAGGAGCAAGAGGAACTTGGTCGCTGTAGCCTGCGAGGGGTGCCGGCGCAAGAAGGCCAAGGTACGTTCACAACCTTATTCACCTACGATCCCACCAAGCTAAAGCCTCCATTCAAGTGTGATGGCAAAAAGCCTACATGTAGCCGATGCTCTTCCAAAATGGAATCGTGTTCGTACGAGACCCTACCTGTCCCCGTCGCAGTCAAGAAAAAATGCGACACTTTGATGATGGAGAACCAACAATACCGAGAACTATACAACGCCATACACGAAAGACCAGAGCGCGAAGCACAGGAGATTTTTAATCGCATCAGAGCGTCCAATGAACCATTTAGTGTGCTAGAGGCCATTAAAGAAGCCGAGGTACTGCTGCCAGACCATGCCAACAGCCAGAGTGACGGGACACGGCAGGGAAGTGTCCCAAGTCTACACCATGCGAGTTCTATTCGGACTCAGGAAAGTGATCGCTCATGAAGGATCATGATGATTGATATGAAATTCAAATGGGGAGATTTATTCGATGTCCCCAATGTTTGTTAGAGCCAGGATGCGGATGGCCTTGAGACCAGGGGACGCTTTAACGATATTTTAACGGTCTCCTCATTGGTAAATACAGTTTGTGCAATGTGTAAGTTATATGCTGACGCCGGTAGGACAAACCCAAAGGATGTAAAAAAAAACAGACTCAACCAAATGCCTTACGATGTATCGACAAAAGGTTGACTAGAGGGATCTCAGGAAGCACGAACGACAAGACTGATGGACGCGAATAGTAGAGCTGTCTACCTCGTGCAGAGATATTCGTCTTTGATCCCTAACCATGTAGCCATGAGATATAACGACTTGATGACCTGAAAAGATAATTGAAAAGGACGATACCAACCGCCATCCTCACTACTTTACCATTTATCGGTCCTCCAGGGAGTCATGCACAATAGAACATGACTGCCTCCCCTGACTAACTACAGGCAGTTGGTAGAAATCTACCTAAGATAGGCATTGGTTTACATGAAGGCATCATGATACTGAAGATGAATGAATTACCACGCCCAAGAACCTTGTTATGCTTAGAGGACCAGCAAAGACAACAAGCACTCTATTATCAACTTCTACATATCAGCATTGGACCCTTATAATGGGGATATGCAATTTTATCAATCTTCCACTTTGCAAAATTCATGTTAAAACATTTGTGTTCAATTCAATTCTTGTCTTAATCTTCGACTAGGTCTTGCCTGACCATATAATCATATCTCATAATATCCTTTAATCATTAGTATCGGCCACCGTAACCACCCTGGCTACCGCCATATCCCTGCTGCCCACCATAAGAGCTGCCACCACCGTGGTGAGAGCCTCCATGGTGACTAGAGCCACCGTAGTTGTCGTACTGAGACTTGCCATAAGCAAGGTCATCGTTGCGGCGGTTGTCTCGGCTGCGGCTTCGTCGTCGTCGTCGTCGGTCATCACCAGAGTCAGAGTCACTGCTGCTAGTCGAGTCACCGCTGAAAGCACGGGGACGGCCGTCTCGGTGGTTCTTTCTGTTCTTCTCCTTCTTGTGCTTCTTGAACTTGTGCTCGAGGAAGTTGGCGCCGATGGCTCCGGCGGCGGCACTGGCTAGAGTGCCGAGGAGACCACCACCGGCGGAGTGGGCTGCCCATCCGGCGGCACCACCTCCGGCAAGGGAAGCGCCTAGTCCTCGCTCGCCGTCAGGACCGCCGGGGCCACCAGGGCCTCCGGGACCACCGGGACCACCACCGGAGGGGTAGGCATTGGATCCACCGTATTGACCACCCTGGTGTTGGCCGTATGACTGGTCGCGGTTATCAGAACCGTAGTTGGAACCGCCTTGAGAGTACTGTTGCTGTAGAGGAAATGTTAGTGAATTGAAGCTTGGTAGTGGCTGTTGCTGGTACTACTAACCTGTTGAGGGTATCCGCCCTGCTGTTGGCCGTGACCTTGTTGTCCGTAGCCCTGCTGCTGCTGTCCATATCCTTGCTGTTGCTGGTTGTAGCCGCTGCCGCCGCCACCACCGCTGTAGTAGTCTTGAGCTGACATGCTTATAGAAGTATTGATTCGAGGTGTTGGAAAGTGTTTATGGGTAAAGAGTTGTGTTTTTTGAAGCTCTTAATCGGCAATTGAAGAATTGGATAGCTTCAGCTGATGAGGGGTCAAGCTCATTCTTAAATAGCAACTGTCGTCATCGAGCTATTCAGCCTTGGCCTAGTAAACTCTTTCTTGGCTGATGTGATCAGACACTGGGCGAAACCAGCAAAGGTGGCGCAGTTCACAAGTTTCCGGTCCCAGCCCTACATGGCACTGTACTGACTGCCCAATTCACGGTGTTTGCGGCGCGGGTATCGGCATTCCCGGGGAGCTTGGCAGACGGATGCATCGGCAGAAGAGGGAAGCTCAGCCACATCGGACTCGCCGGATTATCATGACGATCATATGCTTAATTCTTTGTTGGTAAGCTTGTCTGTGGCTAGTGATGAGCTTGGCATTACTGAATGACGCGCGGCTTCTTGTCATTTTGCCTGTGGAATGATCTGAGGCCAAGCTAAATTTAATCAACCAAGGGAATACCAAGATATTTAGCGGCTGGCGCAGCGATTTCCCGTTATCGTTATCGTTTAACACTAAACGATTGGTGGTTGCAGGGAGAGCTCGCAACATTTCTGACTCCATGTCTGACAGCCAGCTTTTTGAAGCTCCAGTGACATTATCACGAGGCTTCAACAAAGTATGCCCCATTTTGCCAACATTGGGCACCACGAGTTTGTCACCGGGAACCAGAATATTCCCTGCATAGCATCGGCATATCTTGGCAGGCAGATGAGAGACTTGTCACAGCTGACCGTCAGCATCAGACACTTGCGGAAATAGTCCAGGGAATTAGATATAAGATTATCGGCTTGCGCCATGTCTAGAATTACCAAAGCCAACCCACTCATTTCGTGCTAACATTTCAAAGCCCTCCAATGCCTTGGTCCCACTGTATGCCTAGTGAGCTAGGTTTCAAGGTTCAGGAAAGTGGTTGGAGCAGTACCTTTCTATGCGAGATGACTCCTATCATCACTTGAGTAAGCGACTCATATGTGTCGTCTGCCACACTGGATCCTCATCCACTTCAATGATGGAGAACCCATTTCGTTCCCAGAAGCCGATCGCATTCGGCAGAAACGGATGCGTATGCAAGTAGAGTTGCTTGACCCCAGCTTGTCGGGTCGTTTCGACTAGTTTAGCGAACACCTTGGAAGCTAGTCCTGCACGACGCCATTCGGGTTCGACGTACAGCCTCACAACCTCGACGGCATTCTCCACTTCAATGTTGAGAGATGGGAAGCGCCCGTCGTAAGGGACGCAGCCAATGGTAGCAACGAGGCGACCTTCTGAGCGAGCAGTCAAGAAAACCCCTTGCGGAGAGTCGAGGTAACTCTTTTGAAAGTTATCGAGCTCCCTTTGAGCCATTTGACCGCTGGATGCTTGGTTGAGGAATGGAAACATCTCGGCTCGGGCTTTGGTGATGAAGCCGACAAGCTCCGGGACTTCATCCGACGTCGCGGGACGAATTATTATGTCGCCCATATCCATCGTTCTTCTCTAGAAGCGTTACAGAACGGAGAGAAAAGAGACTGTAAGTGTGAACCGGACAGAAGAGGCGCGAATAGGGTTGGGGCAAGAGGAGGAAACCTTCGCGACATTTCGTCTCTCGGAGATTAGAAATAGTTAAATGCCTCATTGACAAAACCCCGCCCCGAAACTTGACTAAGTGATACGGGATGTAACCAAACTCTCTTCACTGCTTCCATCGTCAAATCTAAGACAGTCGAGGGAAGATGGCCATAAAGCTGGGGTTTTTACAAAGCTGCAGATAACGTGCATATGCAGCGCTCTACCCCGGTCCGGATTGAATGCTGGGTGGCCTCAAGACGGATGCTAGGTACTGTACATGGGAGAAGGCACGCTCATCTATACTGCAAATATCTGATAAAACTTATAATAAATACAAATCATACTCATATGCCTCAAAAACGCAGGATAACAGCCCGTAACCAGTCCTCATGTTCTGGACATCATGCCATGGCGATCAGCAGCCCTCACTATAGACGCAGTTAAATCCCACCCGACCACTACTCTTTCCTTCTGTCTTCAGAGCTAAATGCTCCAGCCTTTCTCTACGCAATCGGACTCCTTGCCGGAAGATGAGGCGGGCCAGAAGGAGGCGTAATAAAGCTGTCCACCGTGGCATAGGGAGACCCAGCCGTTCTATCCCATGGCGACCCGAATTCCTCCTCCAGCCTAACATCTTCATAGATGCTCGACTTATCATCATCAAACTTGTCTTGATGAACGATACTTCTGCTCTCAGGCGAAGTGCCAGTAATTGGTGTGATCAAGACAGGATCCGTCTGGGTACCAGCCTCTGAAGTCGTATATGTCCTTGGTGTCGAGGCGTTACTGGTCATGTTGGTCTCTAAACTTCTGCGATAAAACTTGTTGTAAGTCGGACTGTTCGGGCTGGGAGCATACTCGAATGCTTGACTAGAAGGCCTAGAGTGTGTTGCAGCATCGCGGATTTCCAGGCCTTGTTTTTCGAGCGCATGGACGCCGTAAGGATCGGGGTCTTCGGGATCAGGGATGCCAAATACCTTTTCTTCGCCTGGTGCCTCTACTGCAACATCGCCAGGTGCAGGTTGACCTTCTAGCTCATCCATCAATTCCTGGTCTACATCAGTACGACCCTCAGCTGCCTTCAGTGTCTCCATCAACATTTTGAGCTTGGGAGGACGGCGCGTCTTTCCAGCCAGAATGTCCACCACGCCGATTCCTTCTTGTCCATAGAAGCGCGCATTCTCGTCAGTGCGTTCAATTACGACTGTTCCATCGACTTGAACTCCAGCATAGAATCCTCTGGACTTCAAGTAGGTAAACACTGGCCTGTTGGCTTGCTTCCACTTTCCATCATTCTCAAGTACCCCTCCAGCCCCAACGGGCCCAGCGACGGCACTAATCTCTCCACCGATGGTTGCTCGGATCTTAGTGAATGCCTCCAGAGCTTTGCGGTTGTTGATCACCACTACACAGTCGTAAATGTCTACTCCAACTAGAAAGCCTAGGCCAGCTGTGTGTAGCATGATACCCGATGGAGGTGACCATGAGCCATCCTCTTCATTTCGTGCTACGAGAACGCCAGATCCGCCGGCTCCCGAGACCCAGAGACCAGTTCGCATGGTAGTGAAGATAGCAAGACCGACAGCATTCTGTATCACCTTTTGTGGAATCTTGACCATGACACGCTGCTTCTGTTTTGGTCCGTCTTGCACCGCACCAGTCGGCTTTTCTTCCTCAGTGTAGAAGCCATCCTCTGTCGCAAGTTAGTCAACACAGCCCTCAAATGCATTCTTCTTTTTCATGTTAGCTTACTACAGAACGATCTCAAAATTCTGGCTGCTTTATCGCTCTCTTTATCCAAGGTTGTAGGCCAGAATGCCTCGCTGCCAATTCGGTTAGACAGTCTGTTGATGGGGGCTCCCAGCTTATCGGCCCATCCCCAGACTTTGTCGAAGCCCTTTTTGCTTTGGGTCTTGGTTGTGTCCCAAGTTGGGAGTCGAGCTTTAACTTTCTGCATGTTTGAGATATGAATGGCAGTTAGAGATGTCGGATTCCGGATGAGGTTATAGAGTCACTGTCATTTATTGAGTCTGACGTGGCAGACGTCATCCCGCTTTCCAACGTCCTGGCGCCGAACTTCCCGGCAATTGCCTTGATTTCTCACCAACCAGGACCGGTTCACTGCGGTGCGCCCGACGGATGAACCGGCCAAGCTGACTAAAATGTCATTCTTATTTCACTCAACTGCCGGGTAAAATGACAATATTGGAAGCCACGGCAGTGTCGGATGGGTAACTGAAGAATCACCTTCCGAAGCTGAAGAGCCAAAATAACCTAACATGATCTCTGGTTAAAGCTGGAACACGGCGGTCACATTATTTCGTCTCTTATGATTTCGGCAGTCAATTAACCTGAGCTATGCACGTGTTCCCATGCAAAGTAAAGATCAGCAATATTGCTCTTAACCATTTTCTTATGTCTTCAGATCTATGTTCAAAAATTAATATTGTGTCAAATTAATTGAACAAAAGTCAGAACAATCTTCTTGAACATCTAACAACGTACCTAGTCATTGACGCCGTCGTGCTTTGGGCGTAAGATGCTCTTTTAATACTCGTGCTATAAGTGAGGTTATCAACAACAGTCAATGATTCATAGAAGCTAGAAGCAGTGGCGTGCCATGTCTCAGGCCAACACAACCACCAATGGCATGCTTGAAATCCATGATCTGACGGTATGCTGTGAGACATGGAAACGGAAGCCTCGGGGGGTAGGAAGGGATTTCTCGAGTGTGGTAACTTAACACGAAGCATCAACTGAATTGAATACCATCATCATCGAAGAGTGCATCTTGTTCAACAGAGCGGAAACAATGGAATTTGCCACCGGCTCCTTTTTTATTACTGTAGCACTGAGCCTATGTCTCATTGCCGTACTCTATCTTTGTCATATCAACTATATCCTGAAGCAGACGCCAGATGAGGTTCGACGACTTACTAGCAAGCGCTGGACTCCAGCACTTCTCAGCGAAACGTATGAGAAGCTGGAAGAATGTCCGATTGACTTTTATAAGGACCTTCCACCCAGACTGGACAGAAGATACATCGTGACTGGAGGCAACGGTACGTTACAACTTTACCAATGCTTTATATACTAATTGTTAGCAGGTCTGGTTGGTGGCTACATCGCGCTTCAACTCCTGGCCCGTGGAACACCACCAAAAAGTATTCGCATTATCGATATCAGGGAGACCGAGCGTGATGACATGCGAACTGACTTTGCTGCACAAGTCGACTTTATACAAACAGACATAACCTCGACAGCAGCCGTTAACCAAGCTTTCACAAAGCCATGGGATATGGAGATAGCTCACCTGCCTCTTACAGTCTTCCACACCGCCGCTATCATCGTCCCCTCGGCCAGGTCGAAGCATCTCTATAGCTTCCCTGAGGCGGTCAATGTCCAAGGAACTAAGAACGTCTTAGCTGCTGCTCATGCAGCTGGTGCGAGCATCTTCAGCTCCACCTCATCCGCCTCCATCAGCATTCGGCCTGTGGAGCCGTTCGTCTCACCGTGGGCCTCTGAGCCTCGCAACTTCTGTCAAGCCCTCGACGTTAAAGACTTTTATGAGCCCCTTCGCAGACATGAAGATTATTTCGGGAACTATCCTGCTTCGAAGGCGACGGCAGAAAGACTGGTGTGCAGTGCGAACGATAAGAGCTTTCGGACAGGCTGTATCCGACCTGCAAATGGAGTCTATGGGAATCCTACAGACAATCCTGTTGGCCGCTTACTCTCACGAAATATCCATCATACGTAAGTTCTTCTCCAGTGCTAGCTAATGGGAACATGTTAACATTAGCGCAGCTGGATTCCGCATGTCGTCCAGAACTTTGCTCACGGCGCAAATGTAGCTGTTGCGCATCTGCATCACGAAGCTGCGCTGGCAAAAGGAGACTGTCCGCAAGCGGGTAGACCCTTTGTGATTAGCGACATCGGTCCTCCCATCATGTTTGGAGATATCTACACCGCGGTCAGATTCCTATCTGTCCACGATCTGAGAACCATAGTGCTGCCACCAATACTCATGCTTCTCTTATCGATCGTGGTCGAGTGGTATATCTTGCTTCCTTACCGGCTCTTGACTCTCAAAAGGATCCTACCCGAGCTCAAAGGGGACATCAAAACGCTTCAGCCTGGAATCTTCTCAATATGTACTCATCTGGTAGCTTCGGACGCTGAAGCTAGAAAACCTGTTTCTGAAGGTGGACTCGGGTATAAAGGGAATGTTACTTCTCTTGAAGGGGTCGTTACGGAGATATTGGAGTGGAATAAGGAGCACTCTAGAGAATCTGAGGTGGGAGCGAGGAAAACATACACAACTTCTGTCTCGTTGGCCGAGAGGTTGCAAGAAGTTGAATCAGCTGTACCTTTGTAAGTCAAGAAACCATTAGTACTCAAAATAGTTTATCTCGCTGCCACGAGAATAGTATCTTTGGATTCGGTCTCTTCAAGACCAATTACAATATTATATTATATATATAAATAAAAACTGTGATTTACCGTTGCTGTCCTGTCCCATCAAGATTCATGATTCTGTCATAAATCTGTGATATCGTATGAAAACATCAAGTCGTGAAATAAAAATTCGTTGACGCTTTTCTTATCCCAAAAGCATCCGTCAAAGAGCACAACCAAGAGTAGTTTCAAGATCAGTACTTGAATCGGGGCTGATCTGTGCCAGCAGCACGTCTGTTCCTCCAAACGTAGTAGAAGTGCATGGCAATACAGCCCACGCTCACGAAGAGAAGCAGACCAGCGTTGACCCAGTGGCCGGTAGGATAGCCCTTGGCGGCTTCATTGGCCTTGTAAATCCAGACACCGACGATCTGTCCTGGAGCACCCATCGAGATGTTGAGAGCAATGGCTAAGCCGATGGCAGCGGTGGAGTGCAGGTTCGATGACAACCAGCCCAGAAGAGGTGGAATACAGGCGAATGAGCCACAGGCTGCGATGATGAGACAGCCATAACGGGGCTGGGCTGTTAGCAGGGGACATTGGCAGAGTGATGGGTGGACTTACGCTGTAGGAGTCGGCTGGAAGGGTTGCAGAAGCGATGAAGCCGATAGCACCAATTAGGGAGAAGACAGCAGAATGGATGGCGCGCCTGGATTTGTAAGTGATGGTTCTTGGACTTCCAGATAACTTGAGTACTCACGCATTGTACTTGTCTGCAGACCATGAAACAAGCAGGGTCACAACATAGGCCGCGGCATAAGGAGGCACGGTCATCAATTGAGCACGGAGATCTGCAAACTGAAGAAGGTTAGTCGGTGTAGTTTGAGGGCGGAAGGAATACATACTCCTAGACCAGCTGTAATGGATGGTGTGAACAATGACAAACTCGAGAAAGGAGCTGAAATACCAAAGTAGATCTGTTCATGATCAGCCAAAGTCTTCAGTCGGTGAATGTTACAACACATACCAAGTAATGGCACCAAAGCCTCCATTCAAAAATGGTAGACTTGGCGTCCTCCCAAGTCATAGACTTGCTCTCACCATGAGATCCTTGCTCCGCCAATCGGTAAGCTGCGGCATCCTTCTCTTCGGCAGAGAGCCAGCTTGCCGACTCAGGAAAGTCAGGGAGACAGAACCAGACCATGATTGACGATAGAACGGAAGGAATACCTTCAAGAATGAACAGCCATCGCCAGCCGGAAAGTCCATGGACTTGGTTCATGTGACCGACACCATATGCGATAGCACCACCGAAGGCTCCGGCTAGAGTAGCCGATGCAAGAATGGTGGCGACTCGAACTGATCGTTCTTCAGGCTTGTACCAGAAGGTGAGATAGTAAACAAGACCGGGAAAGAGACCTGATTATATTAGAAAAAGGGGCTACAGAGTCAGGACTTGAAGACTCACCAGCTTCAAAAACACCCAGCAGGAAGCGAAGAACAGTCACCACGGCATAACTATGCGCAGCACCAAGGCAAATAGTAATGGTTCCCCAAGCAAACATGAGAAAAGCAATCCATCTGCTAGGCTTCATTTTCTTGAGGAAATAATTAGATGGCACTTCAAAGAGCGCATACGCGATGAGGAAGATCATGAGCGCAATGGTAAAGTCATAATTGGACATGTTTGTCTCGGAAAGAAGATCATGACCAGTAGTATGGTTCAGAACCTTGGCATTGCCAATGTTGGAGCGATCCAAGTAGCATAGTAGATAGATTCCTGCTGCCAAGGGAATGATACGCGCATCTTGTTTGCGCACGAGAGCCTTCTCAAGAGCTGGATCAATTGCTGTCGTGCTCTCGAGCCGAGAATCGGAGTTCTGCTTGGCGGTTAGTTGAGTGGCGTTTGGAGAACAGGGGATTGGGGTAGTGGTAGTGCACCTTTTCATCACCCATTTCAGGGTTGGCATCAAAGTCTGTCCTTGCAGCCATCTTGACCTATGATTCAGGATGATAACAATGAAAAGGGAGTTGATCCTTTAGAGAAAACTCTTACTCGAGAGAAGGGAGGAACCAACAGAAAGAGAATTAAGCGAGGTCAAAGGATTCGTCCATCTCATCTCGCGGGATGCAACCGGGGGAGTAAAGTGTCCCCGCATCTAACGTTACTGCACCCAACACTTGACCTGATTCATGCAGTGATCTGCACTTTTTCACGCGGGGTTGGTTTCTCTCGGTGCCGGACTCCGATGCCGAGTGTTATTGCCGCTGGCCGTTGATTATAAAGTCCAAGCGGTGAGAAACGGTAGCGGTTTGTTAATGAACTTGGTCAAGACCAGCAAAAGGGAGACAAGAGTTGACGCTTTTCGGGGAGATCAATTACGGGGCTTTTAGCAGTGTGGAGTACTGTAGCCGTCGCTAATTCCCCAACGCCAAGTCGCCTAAATCCCAACGCCGAAAGCTCGGACAAGCAGCCATATTGAGCCCTTTGGGGTTGACTATCCAGAATGTTACCCTGGGCAAGGACTGTGAACTGAGAGCCCAATCTCCCCGAGCTCAAACAGATGACAATAGACGGAACCATAGATAATGAGAATCCCAGCAGGTCTTCATTTTCAAGAAAGATTATTACCACACCATGCTTCGCCATTGACAAGCTGCGTTTCGACAATACGACAAAATATCTATCTGCCCAACCATTTGGCACTCCATTCATTCCACCTGATTGTTATAGTATGATCGTAGAAATAGTCTTTTTTTCTTTCTTATATAATGATGCCTGGGAGAGAAGAAGACGATAGATGGAGTGACTATTGGAACCTGTAGAGGATGACTTCAGTCAACATGCAACGATAACAGGAGCCTTTGATACAATAATGTTTTCGCAAAAAGGAGAAATGGTTTTCAAATGTATCAACTCATTAAGAGAAGAGAAAAGCAGTATAGTCGTAATTTCCAAAAAGATAACAAAGCAAAAAAGAAGGATCCTAGCAACTACTCGTTTCGATCGAGTGACCTCCGGGTTATGAGCCCGGCTTTGCGTGAGTTAGTAAGGAATTGTACCCTGAGAAATTGGAGATAAACATACCGCGCTTCCACTGCGCCAAGTTGCTTTCTTGGACGTGAAGAAGCGCCGTGATGTTTTCATCCATGTAGTCGACACGCTTTTGTGCGTGAGTTGGGGATCCTCAGTGGAGATGTGATGTGCCCTGGGTGGGGTTCAACAACAAAAACGCCGATAGCATGAGTGGATCATGAGCTTCAATTGACTTCCATTCTCAAGAACTACAGAGTAGCTATATTGTCAGTGGTAGACTATCCGTACAAGCCACTGCTGAGGGTGGACGTTGGGGGTCCCGCATCAGCTCAAAGTGCCCTCTTCTTCTCTTTCCTACGACATAAACTTCTCGAACATAAACAAGATGCCAAACACTTAACAAAACTGATTACTTTCACTCTATCACCAAACTAGATTATTGAAAGAGGGCTCATTGCTACTCTTGCGGATTGGGATAATGTGGCATTACTTTCCGAGACCAATAACCATCTATTTCCGAACTTATCAAGGCAATTCTCGCGTGTCCTTATTGTGACTCAGAGTTCTCTCTCCCTTCACCTTCTCATCTAAGATGCACGACGTGAGAGACATCAAGAATGTCTTGTAACTGCTGCTGTCGTTGACCAGTGTTCCGTTGGCTATTGGTCGGTCGGCCGATATCGCTTGGAGTTGCATCAAGGTTCAAGGGTCCACTGCCCTCATTATCCGACAGTTTGCAGGGTCTGGAAAAGGTCGTGCCGTCAGTTAGTCCGATATACCCTGACGATGTCCTCTGGGCTCGTGACACAATCAACGCGCTGGGACTAGGACGTCTATCCATTTGAACACCCATGATGCCCGCCCGAGAGCTGCATACAGGGCCACTCCGGCCAAAGCAGTCGTCAAATGGTCGTCATGGCAGACATCTTCGATAAGAAAATACAAAATCGCTCCGTCGGGTCAACAGCTCCATCCGTTCGGCCATTGGCTTGTGCCACATTAATACTCCAACTTATATGCCTGAATGACAGTTTGATTGGGTCGCTTTCTGCAAGGTGAAGGCGTTTCGCCCAGGGTGACAACCTCGGCTGGGATGTTTACCCACTACCTGGCATGGTATCATCGCTATCATGGACTGATATGATATTTACCAATGCTTGGCTTTTGCTCTGCCCCGCCTGACAGTTCTGTTAAGTGAATATGCCGTATGCTAACGCTTGCCGTATGAGTGATATGGGATATAGAGACAAACTCCGCACTTCTGCGCAAATTACGACCAACAGTGCTAATACCTCCAGCCCGCATTGTAATTAATCTACGATCGATCGAATCAGCTCATCATGGTCAACCCGAAAGCCGAACGGGCCCTTGAAGAGGCCAAGAAGCTCGTGGCTCAACTGGAATCATACGATGATAATCCAGTCACCCACCAGGCGGTTCTGAAGCAAACAGAGGCAGTCCGTATTGCCATCCAGTCGCCTATGAACCGTATGAACCATCTGATGGAGCAAGTCAGTTTTGGAGGCGCCTTTCAGACCATCATTGGCACCCGAGCGTACGACACTATGCCCGAGGATGGAAGTTCCATCACTGCTGTAGAGTTGGCTAAGATCACCAATATAGCTACTACAGTAATTGAGCGCGTTTACCGCGTAGCCATCAATCATGGCGTTTTCGTCGAGACTGCACCTGATACATACGCTCACAACGACCTGTCGCGAATTCTCAACCCAAGGGGTTTGGGATCCTTCTTCCTTATCATCACCGAGTTTGGACGAGCTTTTCTGCATCTGGCTGATTACTGCAAGACACACAAACCAGAAGATGTGTTTGACTTGACCAAATCACCAGCTGTATACTCGGTCGGAAAGGAACACCTCGGCAAATCATACTACGAGCTGCTAGAGATGGATCCTGATCCTGAGCGTCGAGAACTCTGGAATGCCAACATGGTTGCTGTCGATGAGCTTATGCCTGTTGTTGGCATGTTTCCGTTCGCATCTCTCAAGGACGAGGTCAAGCAGGACCCTGAGCGGCCCTTTCTGGTTGATATCGGGTCTGGTCGTGGACATTCATGCATCGCGATCAAAAAGGACATTGGCGATGCTTTTGACGCCAAGTTTATCTTGCAAGACCTTCCCGGCGTTATCAGCACTATGGATCCGAAAGACTACCCAGGTTTTGAGCTAATGGTATATGATGCATTTAAACCGCAGGCTGTCAAGAGTACGTGTGCTTTTAGACAAGTCCCATTTACCTATTTGTTACACAATGAGATGAAATAGCTGACTTTGTACAATAGATGCTCGCATCTACTTTATGCGCCGTTTCCTCCACGACTTCTACGCCCCAGTCTGTATCGAGTTCGTTAAGAACACCGCATCAGCCATGGGTCCCGACTCTCGTCTCATCATCTGCGATCAGCTCATCCCTGACACTGTCAAAGAGCAGGAGAACGTAAACTTATACTGGCTTGACTTTGCTCTTCTGTGCATGACAGGACAGGAGAAGAAGAAATCCGATTTCGAGGAGATCTTTAAGGCAGCTGGTTTGGAACTGGTCAAGATTTATCCATCTTCCTACGGATGCACTGTAATGTTGGAGGCGAGGCTGAAGAGGTCTGAGTAGAGCTGCCAGGTATACAGATAGTTAGAGAGGGGAACTCATATTGTTGTTTGTAAACTGCTGGTCCTGACAGTAGGCTATTGTGAAACTATCGTAGTAAATAGCCATGTACCTGCAATACACTGTTGTCATTGCACACAAAAATCGGCTCTGAGACTACGACTTGGTACCTTACCATATACCCAAGGTCTCTCGGCACAGCAGTCGGAGTCAAACTTCGACCAACGGGTCACTCTTACACAACAGTCATCTGCAACTCACCTTGTAATTCACATCCCATGCAGATTTAGCCAAAAGTTCCGTTTACTTCTCGCTGGGAAATGTCCGCCTTGTCGCAAACTCACAGCGTGGCAAAATGCGGTGCAACCAGCAGGTCTATTTTCGTCGCCTTTTGGGGTACCACGAATACGGGTGTGATAATGTCACCTGTGGTTCGTGTCATCCGCCCAGTCTCAAACTCTAAACGGGTAGCAAGGTCTTCGACCTGGTTCACGGGTCATAAGTCGAACCGACCTGTTAGCGTAGAATAAGAGCCACCAACGATGGCGTGATGTTCAATGCAACCTTGGCATTTGGCTTTTCAGCTTATTTAGCTTTAGTAGTGCTGCCGCCAAGGGACGATGCACCAATGCTACCTCAAGGGTCTCTAGTGTTAGCAACTGAGTTTCTCGGCAGTTGAACGTTGACTTACAAATATCGACTTCAACGATAAGTAAATTATTCATTTGCAGGCGGCGAACGATACAGAAGCAGGGATCGATGTGGTTCAAAGAAATTCTATTAGGACGTAGCGTCGCTTGGTATATCCAGTTGCAGGATTAGTGTTTAAATATGTACAAAATGAAATCATACGCTTATGATGTTCCCGCAATGTGTGCCTGTATTATATAATGCACATAGAAAAGATATTTCCCCATATAGAATAGATTAGACTGTCACCTTGATGGTGCTTGCAACACTGGGAACGCCAGCGTTGTTAAGAACGAAAAGCATCCAGTATCCTGGCAGGGCAATGCCAGAGTCGTTGGGGATCTTGAAAGAGTACTTGTTGGTACCAGCACCAGTCAAGGCTAAAGGAATGCGTCGTTGGTCAGTGTTGACAGTGTGTGTAGCAGTGCCGTAGCGGATGAGCGAAGCGCTCTTGATAGCGCTGTTGGCAGTAACAGTGATGGTGCTGCCAATCTTGGCAGTAGTAGCGGAAACAGCCGTGATCTTGGGGCGGGTAGCAAGGTTACCATTGCCATCAAGGAGGTACTGAGGAGTGTAGATCTGAGCGTCAAAGTGGTTGCTCTTGCAGCTACCACAGAGACCACCGCCACCGTTGAAGACAGTAGCGTCTGGCAGCAGCAGAGACATACTGTGGTAGGTGCGGGGAATGGTGTTGGGCTGTTGGTTCTTGAACTCGTGGGTAGTGGGGATGTACATCTCAGGGGTGAGCTGAGCGTTGGTGTCGGTGAAAGGGTTGGAGTAAGACTGGCCGCCGGTGATGAAGACGTTGCCATCGGGGAGAACAACGGAAGTGTGGAAGACACGGGCAAAGTTACCAGCGCCGTTGTTTCCGACTTGGTAAGTCTGGGCAATAGATCCGGGCTCACCAATGGCAAGGACGTGGGCGTTGGCAGTAGCAGGGGCCTGCTGGTAGCTGGTAGCGCCTCCATAGGTGAAGATCTTGCCATCGAGAGCATCGTACATGACACAGTTACCGTTCATGGAGTCAGGGTCGATGCGGCCGTTCTTTCGTCGTGTACCGGCAGCCTTGGTATCACCTTGGGTTCCTCGGGTAGTGTAGTACCAGTTCATAGCTGTACTGGGACCGGCCTGGAAGACACTTCCCTTCTTCCAGCCAAAGAGCCAAGCGTGGTTGTCGGACTTGTAGACACCCTCCTTATCCTTGGTAAGCATAGGTCCAACGAGACACTTGGGAAGAGAAGTCCAGGTTCGGGCCTTGGGGTCGTAGATCTCGCCGTTCTTGCCGCCACGGGGACCGCTCCATGAACCACCGATAGTGAAGACGCGGCCATCGGAAGTGGTAGCAGAAGATTGGTAACCACGAGCAATCTGCATGTCAGGACCGGGAACCCACTCGCCATTGGGGTTGAGAATGGTAGTCTTCTTAGCATCGTTACCGCCAGTAACAACAATCTGTCCCTCGCCGTCCATGGAAATACCAGGGCAGAACATGTCGTGCTTGTTGTTGGTGACATTGCGGTTGGAAATGACGTTGGTCTTGGGGTCCCAGATGGAAGTAAGAGTGAAACCACCACGAGGGTTGGTACCCTGGAAAGCATCGTAGCGGTAAGCAGACCAGATAACAACCTTTCCAGAGACAGGCTCGACAGCACCGGCAACGGGGATGACAGGGAAGTCAAGAGTAGGACCCCATTTTCCAACACCGTTCTTGGGAGGGCTGTACTTGAGAGCGTTGTAGACAATAAAGTCGGCAATAGCGATCCATGGATTGTTGCTGTCCACGTTAGAGAGGGCGACAAATCGAAGATATCTAGCAGGCTTTGTCTCAAAGTTTGTGATGACAGGGTATTTATCTCCCCAGTATGTTCCAAAGGCGACGGGAGAGCCCCAGTTGGTGCCATCGGAGCTGAGGTAGACTTCATGGCGACCAATCCAGTTACGAGTGTTGCCGTCCTGTCGAGGAGTAATTTGCAGACCGCTCACATATTGAGTCTGCTTCATATCAATAACGATAGAGTGAGGAGGTGGCGTGTTGGTTGTGCCGTAAGGAGTCTGCCAAAAGGTATCCTTGCTGCCATCAATGGCATTGCCACAGGGGAAGTTCGGTGCTTGGCTGGAGCATCGAACTGTCCATCCCTTGCGGTCAATGGGGTTGGATCCCACGGGAGGAGCAGCAGCAAATTTGCCAGGCATCTGGCCCTGCTCCTCTGCTTGTGCCTTGACGCCATCAAAGAGGGCACCGAGGCACAAGGCTAAGGTGTAGAAAGACTTCATAGTGAAAGAGAGTAAAAGAGAGTCACGAAGCCAAGATTGCTCTAACCAAGAGTGGCAACTTGGAAGAAGCAAGGCTGATAGGAGAAAAGGAGAATTGAAACGAGAGAGTGGGATGGAATGAGCAGACTACAAGCAGCTGCAGAAGCAGAAAGGCGGCGCCTGTGCATATTTATTGATTTCTTATAATGGATCGTATTGTATTTCTTCTTTTCTTTTTACACGAGACGCCCAAACTGGTGCATGTATAAAGTGCACTATAGATATGCAGGCTGCACGCCCCGCTCCTCCTTTACTGACCGGGCGTTACCAAAGATGGACAAACATAGAGGCTTTGGATGACAGCACACAGACACAGACCCGGGTCAAGTCACTCGGGGCCGCTCAGTTGAGGCGTTATGGAACTAGATGCAATTGAGTGCATGCGGGCTGTGCACAGCGTTTCAAAGTGACTGCATGTTCTGATTATGGTTATCGCCATGGGTTGATTTGCGAGATGGTTAGCCCCAAGGAGGAGAAGATCTGGACCTAAAAACCTTGCAGAACCCCTGTCAGCTGAAAGGAATGGCGCCAATCATCTGCAGCCACCAACACAATTGAAGGACCATCTTGAGGAGAAAAAGTACGTATTTTGTTCCTTTTTTCCAGTCGTGCAAAATCGTTGGGCTAGGCTCCGGGCCGGTGTCTCCTCGCGATGGGTAACTTAACAGGGGTCATTCTTCATTCTGCTTGCTGTCATGTATATTTACCTGCAATATTAAACATGGGAGAAGATGACGTGAGACAGAACTGCTCTAATGCAATCTTGAGTGATTTAAGATGAACTTTCCCTCCCAATCTGTAAGTATCCGAACGAAGGATGACCAGCTTTCCCTCTCTCGTCTTTTTGCTGACATTTGAAGTGCAAGTTGATTTGAGGCTGCAGCCTTTGCAGATCAAAATGCAAGTCCCTTCGTATATACCCTGCTCGTGGCGCAAAGAATGCTTTTTTTGGGTAACGAGAGTATCCAAGCAAATGCTTGCACGTTCTCGATCTAACTTGGCGCTGACTCCACCGCTAACAAGAGTTACCCCTGGCCCTTGATCGGCCCAGACCGACTTGAGTTAGACAGACCGTTGATTCGCTAGACTAGCTCACGAGGGCCTGTAATGCTCTCCTGCAGTCTGTCCTGTACCTTTGTCCAGACCAGACCCGAGGATGGAAGAATTTGTCGCTTCGTGCCGTGTGTCAGACAGACAGTAACAAATGCTACTCTACTTACAGTACCAAGACAAGTATCTCTCCCCAGGAGGAAATACCCATCGCAAAGTTCCGAAATGTCTGAAGACCAAATGAAATGTCATTGTAATTTCTCGTCTGTGCCGCCGTTCCAACTCAAAATGTGCACTACGGGCGATTAACGATAATCGACGGGCATCCTAAGATTCAAGTGGCGTTCATCACAGGGGTCAATTGACAACCCATGTCATTGTCTCTCTCTCGTCTTCCCGATCTTCCGGTCTGATCGTTAGACAATTCTTTAGTGCAGTACCACTCATTATTAGAGTGCTCAATCACTGGATCAAATGGGTATCAAGCCTCCCCCGCGCGGTAATTATCTCTTAGCCGTCCTGTAATTAATTACTCCAATGTCTCAAGGAATGAATCCACCCAAATAGCTTTCTTTTCTCATCGCAGATCTCGTTCAGTTCCAGGTACAATTACGTTTCAAAAGGTTCCAGATTACTTAATTGACCGTATCATTTCTCGTGATTCGACAAGGTACACCCTTGGGTCAATCACTCAACCTGGAAAAGTCTACCTTTTTTTACTTTTACCTCACCTGGACTAAGCAAAAGTTACGCGAAGTTTCCGTGTCAGGCTTGCAGGGCAAACTCTGTACCTGCGCCGTGAAAGGGGTACATGTCAATAATTACATGCACAACTCAGGGGATCAAGCTCATGTCAGCGTTTAGTAGTTGTCATTATTGGTCAGGCCGTATAATGTTTGCATATGCAGCGACGCCCAGTCATAAATGAAGATCGTCAATGGCGTTCTGACAGATCAGTCAAAGTCCAGGCACAGCCGCGCAACCATCAGATAGATATCCAAATGAGAAAACAATCAATCGTATGATACCGGTCCATCAACGTCATTCTCACAGCTCAAGTCATCTGTATAGCAAACGACATCAAGCGCGTCGCTCGCACCACCCAGCCATACTTTATACTCTCCATCAGGCTTGGGTACAAGCCAATCCTGCGCTGCAACATCCCAGACACTCAAATCCTTCCTTGTGAGAGTCAACTCAACAGTTTCGCTCTCGCCAGGCTCAATGACAGCAGTCTTCTCAAAGTCGCGAAGCTGAATGATCGGCGTCTCGTATCCGGCAGCCTCGGGAAATTGCACGTAAGCCTGGACTGAAGCTTTACCGGCGTATTTAGCGCCCGAGTTGGTGACGCGCACTGAAATGGTGTAAGCTTCATCCCAGAGCGCTGGATTTCCGCCTTGAGCACCGCCCGCACGTGGAAGACTTGTTTTCTGCTTAGTCGAGTAGCCCTCTGGGTAAGGGTACTTGGACTTTCCGGCTGCCTCGGCTGCTTTCTTCGCGTCCGACTCCGAGAGCCATGAATAGAGGTAGCGCCAGACTGTCTTGAAGTCCTTTGGCTTAACGGCCTCCTTGTAATCCGGAATGTCCTGAGCATAGTCTAAAACTTCGCCCTTTGCTGAACGTGAGGGAGGATACTGGCTGAGCTTGGTGACCCTCTTGATGGTCGCGTTGGAGTATGTAAAGTTGGTGTAGCTAAGACCATGTCCGAAGGCATAGCGAGGTCGGATCTTCTCCTTGTTCAACCATCTGTAATCAATGTACAACTTCTCAGAGTAAGTATCAGGCGGGGGATCAACGAAGCCGGAGTCAATCAGCTTGGTAACGCTCTCAGGCATATCATCCTCCTTCTTGGTGATGCTATACGGCAAGTGCCCACAAGGCGACGCGTCTCCAAAAAGAATATTCGTAAGAGACTTTCCAGCCTCTTGACCAGGAAGATGCGCCACGAGAACAGCCTTAACCGAAGGCATATCATGCCACTGCTCAAGCAGGACTGGCCCAACAGTGTGTATCACCACGATGACGTTCTTGTACTTCTCAGCCGCAGCCTTGATAAGATTATCACCACCATGCCACACGTTCAACTTGTCCTTGCTGCGATCGCCATTGTTGCCTTCAACCGTATACGAGTTCTCACCCGCATCGGAAGTGACGAAAACGATTGCGACGTCGTCATCGGTCGCACTCGGAACGGAGGGGAACTTATCGGTGTTGTAGAACGTGACATCGCCAGCCTCATCCTTGATGGCGCCGATCGGATCGTCGAGATACATATAGTTAACGGTACCAGATCCCCAACCTTGACCTAGCGTACCTTTGTTGCAGTTTCGGTCGGGACAGGCGTTAGGACCATCGGGATTAGTCTGGGCTCCTGTGCCAAAGACCTTGATGGGACTCTTCTTGCTGAGTGGAAGAAGATTGTTGTCGTTCTTGAGCATGGTGATGGCGTCCTGAGCGACTTGTCGGGCGATCACGTCGTGGTCCTCCTGCACCTGAACGAACTTATTGACGACACCCTTGGGCGAGTTGGGCCAGGCTCCTGGGTAGAGAGGACCTACGGCCTCATTCGTGTTGGTGTCAAAGTTGACCTTGGGAAAATCGTCCTGGTCTTGTCCAAACTTGTACCAGGTTGCGACGACACGAGTAGCCATGTCGTTGAGCCTTTCCATCGGGACTGATCCGTTGAGAGTTGCTCGTGTCATTTCGTACATCCAGAGTGAGTTGCCGAGAAGAGGGATGATTGGATCACCAGGCATACTCATGTCCATTCCAGCGATGGCTGATGCGACACCAGTGATTTGGGAAAGCCAGTCCGTCATGACAAAGCCTTGGAAACCGAGCTCTTCCTTGAGAAGAGCATTGATGAGGTATGAGTGCTCACTGGACATGGTTCCGTTGACCTAATCACGGTTAGCTGTTGTCTTGGTTATGGTCGAAAGTTGACTGACTCTGTTGTAGGCTGTCATCGCAGCTCCAACACCAGCTCGAACAGCTTCGGCAAAGGGCCAGAGGTAGAGCTCATGCATAGTTCGATCATCTATCGGAATTAGCCGATGTCACACCTCGAGATTCAATCCCCTACCAATGTTTGCAGAGTATGCCGGCGACACAACATCTGTAGTCTGGCGTCTATACATCTCCTGCTCATTCCCAATGAGATGCTTGATGGTCGCAACGACTCCGTTCTCCTGAACACCCTTGATAGTCTCTCGCGCACCGATAGCTTGGAGTGCAGGGTCAGTTCCAAAGCCTTCCCAGTTACGTCCTCCCTTGGGCTTTCGACCAAGAGGACCAACCGAGGGACCAAGCCAGACATGAACTCCCTTTCCACGAGCTTCTTTGCCAATCGCGGCACCGCGTTCGTAAATTAGCTTCTTGTCAAAGGTTGCGCCAGCGGTGATTCCATCGGGGAATACAGTGACGTTATCGGTCTGTCGGACGCCGTTGGCTGCGTCGTTGAGGCAGAGTTGAGGGAAGCCAACGCGGTCAGCAGAGCCAGAGTTTCCGTTGCAAGGACTATCAAGTTAGTATCAATGCGGTAAATTTAAGTTCTATCTCTTACCCTGTTTTTTGTTAGTAACCATTGCTCCCCCTAGTAGAGATCAGACTTACCCATAAAGATTCCGGTTCCGGAGGTGATGTTGGTCTTCTCAGCCAACGTCATGGAATCAACCAGCTCCTTGGCTTTCGCATAGCTATCAGCCCAATCATCTACCCATCCTCCATAAGGTGCTGGGTAGTACGGCGCAGCAATGAATCCATCGGATCCCTTGGCCGGGGCACTTGAACCCAAAGCCGCAAAGTTGGCCAAAGCGAGAGCAGCAACCTTAGCGACAGTCATTTTCAAAGTTGATTGTCAGCCTACAGAACCAAAACCGACGAGATATCCCATGGTTATATATCGCTGATCTCTATAGTTGCACATGCTTATCTTTAGCTAAACTCAAATCTAGTATTTAATTCGTAAGTATCCCCGGTCATTCAAAGGTGGTCATGCGCTTCCACTCTACACCTAATATTGATCTAGTGCATTGATATTCAGGACCGCAATCCTGCTTTTTGACAGGTCATTACCTATTCGGGGCGCAACACTTCGACCTAAAGGCCTGAAACACCAAAGACGGTATACTGGTCCGATTCAATGCAACGTGGAAAAATGCGGAGATGATGATCGACTGCCCATATGATGTCTTTCTCAAAACGTTCAGCTGAAAGATGTTGAGCTTCAATTGGCTCATAATTATAATTCCGAGAAAAGACATGTGAATTGAGGAGAGAAATCCAATATTATAAGAAGACGCATATGCACACCCGCCGATTGGGTTCTTACCTATGACATCCTATATCGAAAGCAGCATATAACCGCTCGGTTAATACCACCCTGGGCTATACCCCACGTTCGCTTCTGTGATTCTGATCTACCGTTCCGTCAAGTTCCCCTTTCTTTCTTTGACTTGATGTTCCGTCTTTCCATTCCTATGCTTGCCAAGAACGCGACTCCACCGAGCGACGTCGACACAAGGAAAGCAGTTGACACACCGTATCTGAAAGCGTCCCTGACGTAGGAAAGTGTGTCGCCTGATACGATATGCTCTAAATCGATACCGCCTGCAGCGATAACAGCCTGAACATCGATGTTGTCGATGTCTCTCAGTCTTTGACGAAGGGAGTTCTGGAAGACGTTTTGAGAAATGGATAGTCCCACAGATCCTCCCAGCGCTTGTGATATAATGATCAACACTGTTCCGAGGGGGATATCCGCAGTACTCAGTACCACTTGAACGGCGATGATGCTGATCTGAATAGCCATTCCAAAGCCGGCACCTGCGAGGACCTCAAAGCCAAACCATCTTGGCAGTGGTGTATCTTGGTCAATCGTGTACAATAGTCCCGCACCGGTGGTGAAGATAGCTGATCCAACCCACATGAAGGGGATATAATATCCAAGCCATGTGACAACCGAGCCAGTGATAAGACTCACGACAGTTACGGTAACTCCGTGGGGGAGAATATTGACACCAGATGTCTGAGGGTCCACGCCTTTCACAGCTTGAAAGTAGAATGGTAGATGGTAAGTCTGTGTGGTCATAGCACCTTGAATCAGAGCTGAAAAGATGCAACCAAGAAGAACAGATCTCTGTGAGATGATACGAGGCTTGATCAATGCGCTAGTCAAAATTAGTGGCTATTAATTCTCGTTGGGCTCGGCGATACTCACTCTTCACCTTGTCGTATCTGGATATATATAAAGAGGATGAGGAGCAGTCCAAAGCCCAGAAAGCAGCCCCAGACCCTCGAGTCAGACCAGGGATGAACAGAGCCACCGTTCTGTAGAGCCAGGAACAAGCAAACGAGAGCTCCGGCGAGTAAGACAGCACTCTTCAATCCGAGGCCGAGAATCTTTTCTTTGACCGGTTTGTTCTTGAAGGGAGCTTCTCCCAGGGATAGCGGGTAGTACAAGAGGATGACGGCAGCCATCAAAGCGCCCGAGGCTAAGCATTTGTTAGAGCTTAATCGTGTGGAGGATGAGTCACTCACGTAGGTTGATCCAGAAACAGAACCTCCAAGTCAATCGTTTCGAATGTGTGAAAACACCACCAAGCGAAGGCCCAATCACCGAAGATACACCGTACATGCTCGAAATGATAGCCAGAAGTAACGGTCGTTTTCGTATCTCGACGATGCGCGATACTATTATCATGGCACCACAGAAGACGCCTGCAGCACCGAGTCCAGCAATAGCTCTGCCAATGATGAAGACTGGCGAATTCGGTGCAGCGGCACATAATATGGAGCCTGCCTCGAATATTATTGAAGAGGTGAGGTAGACCCATTTCAGATTCCAGAAGGTATAGATCTTGCCGAAGGTTGGCTGTGTGGAGAGTTGGGTGAGGAGGTAAGCTGATGCATACCAGGCTGATTTCAAGTGAGATTAGAAGATCACTTCAACCATAAGTCGTGATTGCTTACCAACATCTCCAAGACTATCGAACTTGCTTGTTATTTTCGGGATGGCAGTTGCTTCACCTGGTTAGTCGGGTGTGTGATATACATGAAACGATCCATACCGATAATGCTGGTGTCCAAAGAGATCATCAACACGCCGACCATCAGTGAGAGAGTCATGAGGACTAAAGGTAGGCCATGGAGATATGTATCTTCTTCTTGGTCTATCTGCGCTTCGGCTCCATCATGAACACCGGCCTCAACATCGCCGGATGTATTCGGCTTCTCTGTTGGCTGATCTTTCGTATCGCCCTTCATCGTCGACGGACGCCTAGCAGCTGATCAGTAACTGTTGGATACTCCTTTCGGTGGGATCTTGCACCCACATTGGCTCTTCTTTTGAATCTGTGGTAGTCATGATGCTGCCTATCTCTCACTCACAATGCTCTATGCCTCGACAGCTGCAACACTGACACGGCATCTTAAGTAGTTTTAGAAAGGTATCACCAAATACTCTGTTGGTTGTCTACACTACACACCATGTCATACGAGCCTTACTAGGCTTGCCTCAAATTATCAGGCTATTGTCTTCAGTGTCACATTCGCACTCGCGCTAGCATGCAGCCAACGAACAACAAGCAATTGGTTCATGCGATGTGTCAAAAGCTCCGACTTATTGATCTACAAGACTTGAAAGACTCAAAGCTCCTTTTCATCGGTCTCTAAACTCCCTGAATATCGGCCGACGTTTACTGCATCGGGGTCATGTTTCTGGGCCTACTTGCAGTTATTTTAACTCTATACAGACCAACGTTCTGAGTATCTGACTGCTAGTGCTGAGTCTCACCCCCAAGTCACTAAGATATCTGACCGCCTGTCTGAGACAGAAAGACTGGTTCAAAGTGTTTTCGAGTGGGAAATGTGATTAGGTGCATTTACCCGCCGTGGCTTACGCTGTCAGACGTCAAACACTCATTGTTGATTGACAATCAATCGACCACCTCAATTACAAAGACAAATCACCAACCAAAGATAACAGTCTTGAAGATGAATTTGTCAGCGACGAATAACGTTGAAACTTTCGCGCCTACTTTACCACTGGAATTCCGAAGTCTAGTTTGACTGATTCGATTTCAAGATGGCTTGAACACCAACCACCCGGCTAGGTCCGGCGTTCTCGCCGACAGTAATGCGGAACATCCTCCCATTGGTGTTACCCGTGAGAGTTGCGCGGTAAGATTGAGCCATCAGCGTCATGCTGGTACTGATCGTCTGATCTGGAAATGGCCGGTAATACAGCACCAACACAAGCAATTGGTGTTCCATTCGACTGCTGGGTGGACTGTAAGATATTTCCTCTAAACACACATCGCGCAGTCGCTGAAACATGTAGGGGAAAGCTGATAAAAATACACAAGTGGCCGTTCGTCTTGTTGCAAGATTTGTGTGCGAGACATATATCGTGGTCTCTTCGTACAGGCCTCGTGGCTAATCACCGTTGGTTCCTCTATAGACAGAAGACAGGTAGATTCCATGGATCCCAGGATTCATTTGTGGCGAAAGAAGGGCCGTGATAAGAGAACCATGGCGGGAACCGGAAAGCCATGGAAGAGAGCTCGAATAACATCTTGAGTTCCTTCAACAACCTTCAGCCAGCACGTCACTATCAGGACATGCATTCCCAACATTTTCCAGATTTTTCAAATATTTCCACAAGACCTGGTATACTTAATGTCAACGCTCCCCTGTCTCCGTCACGCTCGAATTGTCGAACTGTCAAATCTCTGCCAAGTCATTCAAGATGCACTTCTTTTCATTGGCAAGCAGCCTTGCTCTCGTGAGCTTGGCACTCGGCACTCCCGCCCCTCCCAAGACCATCGTGGTCAAGCCTGTCCTGTGCCCAGCGATCGATTTCAGAAAGATGAACACCGTCTTGACTGCCGTTCTCCCAAAGACACCCCGCACGATCAAGGAATGGCCTTGGGGACGTATGTGCTCGTATTCTCTGATGTGTGCTCCCTATGGTGACTAAAATGAGCAACAGAGATACCCAAGACATGCATGTCCCAAACCGAGAGGTTGAAGCTTGATCCCTACAAAATGAAGGTCTACGAAATCCTGTACGAGGATTGCCCCCGCCCGTGGTACGTATGTCGCCACGAGACAGCCGAGATGTCCATCAAAGCCATCGCCGAGAACTTTGGCCGTCTCCCTGTCGGTCTGCGGGACTTTGTCCGATACCAATTCGGTTCGTCTTCAACATTCATGTTACCTTTGGACTTGTTGATTGACACTTATCTGCAGCTACTGGCCCCCGCAATGGTGCAGCTGGCGGCACAGTCGTGTAAGTAAAACACAATTGAACCAATATCGTTAGCTGACCTCTCAGTCTGCCCCGAGGAGACGTGACCTATTGGGGTAATCTTACCGACTACCAAAGCACTTTTGTCCACGAGGCAGTTCACGCTGCTGAGTACTATCGTGGGTACAAGAAGTATGGAGGACTCTACGCGGGTATGTTCTTGGGCAGATGTCGTTCATAAGACAGTAGCTAATCACATCAAACAGAATCGAAGCATTGGATGGACGAGTACAACAAGGACGACTGGCGCAGCGATGACAAATCAGCAAAGTGTAGGTCTACTTGTCGTACAATTGGCTTGGAGGCATTGCTAATCACGTACTTGCAGCACCTGTTGAGGCTTTTGCCCAGATGGGTATTCTTGCCTTGATCGACAAGCATCTCCCAGCCGGCTTGACCATTTTCGAGCCCAACTTCAAGCTTCTGTCTCATCAACATAACGCTTTGCTCGATCTGATTGGCGACGACCTCGACTTTGGCGTTACCTGTAACCGAAAAGAGCCTGATGAGTACGTTATTTCCATGCACCGTAGTGATGTTTTACTAATTATCAACAGCGAGCCTATTGTCTGCATGGGCCCCAAGGTGGATTGTGCGAACATGCCAGATCTGAAGTTCATTCCTCCCAAGGAAAGTCTTGACCCTGCCCACTTCGGGGTCTGGCGATCAGGCTCAGTGACCGGCTGCTAGCTACCTAGCTAACAAGATCCCAGCCCATTAAATGCGTCAACGACTGTAAACCTTGGTATTGGCCTCGACATCCGAACAATCCACATGGATGGGGTTATTAGTTTCGGAGCAAGTCGGACCTTTCCCATCAACAGAGGAGTGATGGACCTGTCGAACAAATAGGTGTAATCTTGTAATTTTTGATTTGTTAGCTGTGAAAAAGAGTTTCCAATCATCCTATCGGGAGGTAAAATATGTGCCCTAAAGATAAAGTTTTTGTTGGGCTTAAATTGCCGAAAGTCACTTTGCCGTGGGAAAAAGCCAAAGGTTTACCTAAGAGTCACCTGTTCTTTAGATCACAGGCTGGCATCACTTATCGAAGCTTCATCTTGATATAGTTGTGACTTCAAAATGGTTAGGTAAAATCTCCATTTGCTTAGATTTGTTACTAGGGTTCACCATCCTCAACGAGTCAACGTGCACTCTATCTAAGGTCTTTTCTTCAGAGGCAGATCTGGAGGGCGTACAGCCAACGTGCACTCTTCCAAATAGATAGGAACCTAACAACAAATCCAATTCTCCTAGCTGTCGACTTGATCTTTTGTTTACAGGAGGAAGAGCAAGGTCGCAATGGACAATAGACCAAGTGATCCAACGTATGCCATCTCAGCACCAGAGTCGGTGGCAGTGGCAGCCTTGGACGAAGTACCCGTGGACGAAGCACCCGTGGGAACAGTAGTTTCCGAAGTGTCCGCGGTAGGAGGAGGGCTTGGAATGTCAGGGGCGGTAGGAGGGCTCGAAGGGCTCGAAGAGCTTGAAGGGCTTGAAGAGCCCAAAGGTGTCGTTATGGTCTTGGTCACGACGACCACCGGATGCTTGACCCTGCAGGGTACATTATGGGGGATCGAGGGAGTGACGGCAGCAAGAGCTGCTGTACCAGAAGTCTCGGATGTCATCGAAGTGCTGTAGGTAACGCCGACCGTGGCATTACAGCGTCCGAAACCAGCACTAATAGCGTCTGCGTGATATCAGCAAACTGTTCTCAAAGACCTCAAGATCTTCACGTACCGTCAAGTTCCTTCTCGGCACACTCCTTCTCGGCACAGGCCTTGAAAAGGTCCTCGTATTCCTTTCCACAGAAGCACTTCTCGTAGTAAGGAACGCAGTCCCTCTTTCTGGTCGCGTCAACCATACAGGAGTTCTGTGATATGTAAGTAATAATGCCATTTCTTTCGTTGCAATTGATACGTACGACACAATGAGGGGGGTCTGTCGCCTTCGAGCCTCCCTTCGCCAGAGCGAGAGTTGGCAAGAGGGCGCCGGTGATGATGATCCCACTGATGGCTGACTTCATGTTGATGGCAGTGGTTTGGGGTTAGTAGGATCGATTCGAAGTTGATGTTGGATACTTCGAGTGTGCTTGTGCTTGGTAAGTAAGTTTCTTCAGGCGACCTTGGTCACCCGACACCTTGATGTTTGCGGCCCGAGTCGAGTATAGACTCAAGGTTTATTTTATCAGGGTCTTCACACTTCGCCCCCCTACAGTTGTTGATGTCTTCCATCTGACCACTGAATGAAGCGCGAGTATCAATCTATGTCTCCCAAGAATGAAAGACCTCATATTTCTTGCTCTAACATACGACATGGAGGTCTTTCGCAGCTGTCAATACGGCCAACCAAGCCTGGTCGCTTGAACGCAAGTAACCTCACGCTCGACCCTAATCCATCGTGAAATTGAGGCATTTCACTGAAGACTACGACTTGCGGCGTCTTGTCTTGAGCACCTTTCAAAGCCCTACCTACTCAGCCTATGAGCACGGCGAGGGAACCGTACGCGTCCCCTCCGTCTATGGTGGCGGTTAAAGGTCAATCACCAGCTTATGGTAGTGCGATGAAGCTGCCACGATTTAACTCAAAACTCTACTTGCGCGACCACTACGACATATAAACTTTCGTCGCAAAAAGAAAGAAAAAGCGACGTGTTCAAAGCAATGTAGGGGGGAGGCATCTGTCCTCAGCATCGAGATACTCAGTAAGAGAGTTAAATCACGAGGTAACGAGAATCGCCGCACGCATCTGTGAGGTAGGCGACGGCGAAGAGAAAAGAAAGGCAAAGCAACACTGAATACAAAGGAAGGAAGCAAAACATGAGGATCATGTCTGGAGATATGAAAGAAAAGATTCTAGAGCAAAAAAGAAAAGACGTTGCGGTTTGTGTGGATCGAACACACGACCTTCAGATATCAATTCCCGAAGTTTGACTTCAGTCTGACGCTCTCCCAACTGAGCTAAACCCGCTAGCCAATGAGGTCGATGAAGGTATGATTGCGTAATCTAAACTATAGAGTGTTTCATTCCCCGTCTACAATCTTTGCAATTCTCCGCTTTTCCCCCTCCAGCCCAAGCCCAAAATATTCCATTGCATCTGACAGGAGTTGTCTCGGTACGGCACAATACGGTCGCTCGCTACCAATGATAATCTCACTTGATAGATAAGCATTAAGAATGACAATTTTCTTTCTTAATCAGATTATAGATTTGTCGTCAGGCTATAACAAGGCCCAGACTGTAGTCCCTCGTCAATCCGACAACAATACCCTACAGCGCACAGCAATCTCTCAGACCCGCGACAAGGACGATTCTTGTGAAATCGGATATACGGCGCAATGGGAATTTCTTCTCACGCAGCCTTACTCTCTTGGCAGCCCGCTCTGCGATGTCACTGGGGAATTGAAGTCAGTGCATAGCAGCCCATCCATGTGGTTGAATCCACCAAAACGGCAATGTCGGGAAATTGTATCTTGGCTCATGTCACTGCAATCCTTCAATTCCGTTCTAACTCCGGTAAACAGCGACGGGAACAATGAACATTTCGGCACCGAAAGAGCCATGATCTTCCCCTTTTCACATATCAATTCGTACTTATGGCCAGCTTTTTATTATTGCAGCCTGTCTTGGCAGAGTCATCAACCCGATCCTTCGTTTCAAAAAGAATCATCGTTCAACAGCGGGTCTCTGTGATTGGTATTACCGGGGATTAATTTAGCGGTGACTCCACTAGGCTGAGTGGTCGACGATTTATAAAACCAGTGAACGCCTTGTAGAATTCGACTTACTATCATTGTAAACACATCTCGAATCGCTTTTCACCATGGCCATTACCAAGTTCGGACTTCTCACCCTTCTCGCCATGGGCGCCGCCCAAGTCAGCGGCAGGGACCAGATTCAACAACCCGCCCAATCTCCCTTGCTCAAACAGATGACATCGCAAGGATGCTTCAGCGCCCTCCCATCAGATGCAGACTCTCACGGATCATTCGCCTTCATGGCCACTGGTGAATGCGGAAACTCTTGCACCAAGGAGAAGAAGCCCGTCGCAATCACTTTTGGAAGCACCTGTTACTGCTCCGACAAGTACCCTGCCAAGTTGTCGCTGGTAGACGATAGCTTGTGCGACGAGCCGTGTCCAGGTTATGCCATGGAGGCCTGTGGAGGAATGGACCCCAAGTCTTACAGCGTCTTCAACACAGGACTCGATCTCGCCCCCGGATATGACGACGGTGAAGATAATGATGATGATGATGATGCTTCTTCAGCGACCGAAGCTCCCTTCAGTGCATCTGCTTCTGTTGTTTCGATCAAGGTTACGTCGGCGACAGGGATCCCTTCCACAACCAAAACTGAGGAGGTTAGCTCAGCTACAGCCAGCCCTGAAGAGACTTCCCCGGTTCTGCCTGTTACCGCGTCTCAAATCCCGCCCGTGGTGAACGAGCAAACTGCTGCCGCGACACCCAGCGCTTCCGCCTCGACCGTTCCAGAGAACGCTTCGCCGAGACTCTCCAACCCCATTGGAAACATTGTCAAGGTGATGATGAGTTTGCTCTAAATTAGCAGTACGCCGTACAGAAAGATCGTTATCCTCAAGACAGTATGCTCGCTGTCATTGGAGTATCATGTCAGCAAGCATGCAATGCATTATGTTCACCTGAAGCTTGAAAATGATCAAATTCCTTGTATATAAATTTCACAAATGCATAGAAACACACGAGATATGCTTATTATGATAGCGATTGATGATAGAGAGCAAATTCATGATTCAAGAGGCTACTCTGCTATGAAAAATGATTCCTGTGTCCTAACGCCCTGTATGAACCTGAACAGCTCCTTGTTTGTGGGTATGACGCCAGACGACAGCGAAGGATTTATGAGCTGTCAGATTGCAGCATAATCCTGCGAATGAAGGAGCGGAAGGATGAGTCAAGGGTTACTTATAAACTGTTCGGGTTTCATATAAATATTCCTGATCCTGGAGCGAGAAAGCAGTGCTGGTCGGGATCTAGTTTTCAGTGTTCGCTGACCTTGAATGCTCAGGGCAGCAATGGAAGGGCGCCAGCTTGCAAAACTTCAGTGGCTGCTTCCACTGTAAACTAGCAGCTCTTCTGCCCATCTTTAACCTGTCGCGCATTGTTGAATATTCTCCGAATTCACTCAAAATAAATTCCTTAGTTATCAACAATCAATGGACCCTTAATCTGCTGGCTCTTTGTTGTAGCGAGTCGTTTCTTTGTGATACGATTGTAGTTTGAAGAGGTAGTGGTTATGCTGGTGAGAGGAGCCTGCCCGACACTCTGGACACACAAGTCGCAATTGTTCTCTCTCTCACTCACAAACCAGACGATTTAAAATGCCGATATTATTGCAAGATACCGTCAATCAATTGTATCTATATAGCGCTGTGTAAAGCGTTCATTTTTATGAGCGCGACAGAGCATACTCGAATGCTCCCTTTTCGGGAATACATTTAGCACCAACCTCTGGAAGAGTACCATCGACGAAGTAAGAAGAGATAGCATCAAGAAGGCAAGGAGACGAATGCGATGTCACACCATGCTATCAGATAATTAGCTTAATGCTCCAATAAGCAAATGAGAGGAAAGACTTACACCAACACCCTCGTTTACCAGCACACGGCTGTCTCTGAACCGAGAAGCAACCTGATATGCATGACTAAGCGAGGTAATGGGATCATACGCATTATTCACGACCATGACCGGGAAACTTGTGTTGACGTTTCGAAGCGTATTCGTGTCAACATCTTCCGCGGCATCAAGTTTCCAAGCACCGCAGGCCATGTAGTCAGCAGCGATGGCATCGCCAAAAGTACTCTCAGCAAGATGCGCTTGGTAGAGGGGGTAAAGATCCTCTGGGGTCTTGACACGAAATGAGGTCTCGGAGCATGCAATGCCTTGGAATGCGTTCTTGCCCAGATTCCACTCTGATGTGTCCTCCTTGTACAAACTCAGTGCCTTCTTGTAGTCGCCTTCGAAGGCGTATGAGAGAAGGTCGACGACGGTTGAGTAGGAGAAGGGACTCGAGAGGAGGTTCATGATGCCATTCTTCAGATCCTTCAGAATGGAATTGCCAGCATAGGGATAGTCCTTAGCTGACAGACCATTGGGTAGGTCCTTCATGTCCTTGAGCTTCTGGAAGAGATCAACTGTTACATCGCGCAAATCCTCAACGGTGGTCTTGCTTCCAGAGTAATTGGCCAGTTTGCAAACCTCAGCACCAAGCTCAACACACTCAGTAAAGAGATGGATCAAGGACTTCTCAGCATCCTTGGGGCCTCCAATACCCGTCGAGGTAAAGTACGCGTCCGCAAGCGAGTTTGAATCCAGAAGAAGACGTTCAATGCGATCGGGGAACATTGACGCAGCGACTTGTCCAAGGATAGTGCCGTATGAAATACCCCAGAATTGCAACTTTCCATCTTCGCCAAGAGCATCGACGATCTTCATCATGTCTCGTGCAGTAAAGGCGGTGCTGAGGAAGCGGCCATTTTCTTGCTGGGATCCATAGCAGGCTTCGGCGACGGCCTGCATGGACTGCCAAGCTTCATTCTTGACGTATTCCCAGAGGTCGGCCTGAGGAAGAGGATCAATACCTCTACGGGAATGCGATGCGGTAGTTTTGTTCACATCACAAACATATGGGATAGTTCTGCCAGTGCCGCTTCGCAAGGTTAGTACTCAGCAGGTGCAATAGTCAGTCCTACTTACCGAGGGTCGAATGAGATGATGTTGTGATGACCACCAAGGATACTGGCGACATGTCAGCTGTTATCGCTGACAAGGGTAAAGATGCTCACTCTCGAAAGTCCTGTCCAAGATACGCAAGCGTCTCGATACCAGAAATTCCTGGACCACCCGGATTCCAAAGAACACTGCCCTTGAAAGGCTCCTTTGTAGCATTATACCTTATCAACTGCAACTCAACCGTCTTCTCAGACTTGGAGTCTGTGTAATCCAACGGAACCTCAATAGTCGCACAATCACCAGCTTTGATCAACTTCTGCGCATCCTCAGCAAGGTCCAAATCGCAAGGTCCCCATTGCAAAGATGACGCGTCTGAAACGCGAGTAAACAATAAGAGCAGTGGCGCAAAGCGGTCATAAAGCATCTTCATGTTGATGAAGGAGAAGGCGAGGATAATGGACTGGCTAAAGGGTATCATGTCGTGGGCTTTGATGATATTTTATGCTTTTGTTGTAGATGGCGGAGCGGAGCGTCGGACGATCTGATAGTTGGTGGAGAGTGCAGGGAGGAGGGATGCTGATCCCAGCGGGGTCTTGCAATTTCGGGTGCTGAATAGAGGCAGGCTTAGACATGGAAGTTTTGTCATTCAGCTGAGACTACATTTGGTGAGATAGAACTGCCGAACAGTGGATATCTTATCTTATGGGTCCTATAAATCATGATCCAAGAGAGCTATGGCGTATTCTCACTTCAGTTCCTGAGCATACTCTTGTCGTTGTTATGGTTGACAGCAGTTGGCATGGGATGGAGGCTCTGCGACATGATAGCCTAAACGTTCTGACTCTCAACTGCCGTCCACCGTGCAAATCTCCTGTGACGGGAGTCTGACAAGAAGATTTACCGTGCCACACGACTGCAGTATCTGTACCTGAAATTTCGCACTAATTACGCTAAAGTTCACGAAGGAAGCGCAAGATTTTCTTCATCACATCATTCACAGTCAGCGTGGGACGGTTCCGACCCGCCGTAAGCTTAGCCCACCACCCAGCCAGGCAGGTATTTGACCTCAGTCAGCCCTGTCCCGGTACGGACCGGCTCATCAGGTACCACTAAGAGCTTGTGGGATAAAAGAGTAATTTGATCACTTTTCTATGAGAGCAAAAATGGAGCACGGTTAGTTTGGATGCTACAAAAAGTAAAAGAAATGATTGCGGTTTGTGTGGATCGAACACACGACCTTCAGATATCGAATGATAGTGATTGAAGTTTGACTTCAGTCTGACGCTCTCCCAACTGAGCTAAACCCGCTGACTAAGGTTTGTGATTGCAGACGACATGATGAAACACTATATTCTATTGACTTTGTGACTCTGAACCGTGGGCATGGGATACAAGCAGAGATGTTTTCTCAAGTGTGAGTTCCAAGGTAGAACGATCTGCTGTATATGGTTGATTGGCATCTTCCAGTTAGTCTGCTAGAAGCAAGTGACTTTGACTGGCAAGCCTTCAGGTTCAACCGCATGACATCAACAACTCTTGTTGGCAATGTCGAACAACTCAGCCGATGATTCTGATTAAAAAGAATATTGAAATTCATTCGAGTATATCATGCAAACCTGAATTGATAAAGCAAGTTACGGCTGCCCTATTCAAAGCAAAGAGGACCTCGATTATCTGATTGTGACTCTACATCTCAAAGTACAGGGTATAGTGGTTCCGACATCCTGGATTGAATCCAGCAGTACACCCGGGACAATGGTTATCGCTCCCTAGATACTCATCTATGGACAGTTCTCGACAACAGTTACCGCATAGAACCGCCAACTCTTGTCGTTCTGACTTAGGCCAGACTTGAGAAGGATGTCCCGCCAGCTCATCATGGCAACTTATACAGGCATAGTAGTCTCCGCAGCATTTGTGTCGAATGGCAATGATATCCAGATCTGAGTGCCAATGATCACATTGAAATTTTGAACGAACATTTACCCCATGAACCGTTGGTGGGGTTGGGGAGGTTGTGTCTGTGGGTTGAGGCATTTATTTGACAGGAGAGGAGGGTGTGGTGATGGCGATATTGGGTGACGGGGAAACTCGTTTGGGGTGGTAGATTAAATAGCTCGAAGCGATCTTGATGAACGTAACTACCGAAAGAACTGTTGGCTGGGTGGAAGCTATGTGCAGGATCAGTCGATTGAGTTCAAGGTTGGAGATTGGCGACAGACGCGCTGTGGAGCTAGATGTGTTAGTGCTGTGTTAGGGTTGTGTTGGTCATAGCCGATGGCAGCCATAAGTTCGTGTGCAAATAGCCGCCTAGAACTATTTGCAGACTAAGAGTGTTGGTCAACAACAGAAGGTCTTGTAAGAATCGAGCAACGCTGGATGCTTTTCGCAAGAGTCTGTGAAATAACGAATTGGTCCTAGAACAGCACAAATGGCATCAGATCATCTCCCGATGCTATTCCCACTTGCTTTACTGCATGCCAACCCAAGACATGTCTGGTCAGAGGATTCTTTCCGTTGGCGGATCGGTGTCCACCTACCTTGTCACCAACAGCGTTACGATAGTCACAAGTAAAGCCAGTGAGTTCCTTTTGCTTTGTGGGTTGCTGAGACATACATGTGAAATACCAAGGTAAACTTGCAGCTGTTGAAGAATCAAGTGGCATCATGTGCATGATAATACTCACGCGGGAGGACTTGCTTGCATAGAAAACGTCACTGCCGCAGTCTTCAACATACGTCGATCCGCAAGTAAGACGGCCTCAATCTGGGATGGGCGGTTACAGTAGTGGTGTACGTATGTAGACCACAAGACGGAACAGAAAACAACACCCGCGATCCAATGACCCAACACCCTCCCAGTTAGGCAATCACGGCAATCTGCCCATTTAAGCGATAAGGCTGCAAGGGCAATCTAGCAGCGTAGCATTATTACTACGTAGTTTGCTGTATAAGTCGCTATTTTACGAGCTGCAACCTTGAAGCTTATCGACATTACTCATCTTTATCTGCCACCGAAATGTTTAAAAGAAGTAATTTTCGTAAGCTGCTTCCCTCCATCTCGGAGGACGTTTTCCCTCGTCGAAAAGGAATCACAGGGCATGAACCAATGAGTGTGTCCATCACTAAGGACACGTGCATATCATCCGATGGGATACGTCATCCGTTGTCCTTAAAGAAGAAATTGGGAAAAAAGCAGGGCCTAGGCCTAAGGGCTTAGCAGACTGGGCCTGGATTCTTCATCTGGTCCGGACCGGATGAGTGGGGGATCCATATGACACATCATTCGCCAAGGCGTGTTGGTGGATATATCACGGATTTTCAGCTTCACAATTACAGCCCGAACAGGGAATTTGCGTGGAGCGTACCTTTCATTCTGCACATCGGTATGGAGAACAGCTCCTCTTTTCCAATATGAGTAAGACATGCATTGTAGGTGTCGAATAACTCAATAGCTTATAGTGGCTTATTCGAATCTTCGCCCCTCAATGGATCAATCCTTGGGCACGGATCGCGCAGCATGTGATGAAGAATCGGAAATGCCCCACCACATTGCCGACTTTCCTCAACCAACATAGCCTTGTTAGGACGTAAGCTACACGAGGCGTTTCGCGCAGTTGGTTTACTGTCTTTCCGTGGTATCACGGAGCTGATGACACGGAGCTGATGACAACAAATACGGAGCAACTCGAGTGAACTGCAAGGAATCGTCACTATGAGAATGTTAAATTTCTCAAGAGGTAGATCCTCCTGAACATATGGGGTCATTGCCGAGCCCAATCAACCGTCATCCTTTCCATCGCTTAGCTGTTGTGGCTTTGTCAAACCACACCGATTCCTTTTATGCAGGCTTACATCCTATATGCATAGTCATCACGCAGCCAATCGCTTCCATTGTATTGAAGGAAGCGCTACGCCACGGAACAGTCTAAATTTCGTATCAGGCCGATCGGACATAAGAGGACTGCTTTCCTCTCTGCACTGGCATAGGATGCAGCAGTTACGCATCTCTACTCTGGACTAATCCCTTCCCAACATGCAACTCCCGTTACTCCAAGCGCTATTTGTTGGTATCATAGCGGTAGGCCAAGATATATCTATATCTATTCATACTCTGGGACTGACACTCGTGGCTAGGCGATACTATGGCTCGTCTACACGGTTATCTACAGAATCTACTTCCATCCTCTGTCCAAGTATCCAGGCCCTAAGCTAGCTGCATGTAGTCATGTACGTCAGACTTCTTCTTACAGCATAACATTTAACTGTGCTCACAAATATTGACAGTTCTGGTTCATCCGCACCTGGAGCAGTGGCTTCTATCCTCAACGAATGGATGAGCTCCATCGCAAATACGGAGACATAGTCCGCATCTCCAGCAACGAACTAAGCTTCAGGTCACCAACCGCCTTCAAAGACATCTACAACCATGCTTCCAAGGACAACCCTGTATTTCCCAAAAGTGATTATATGTACATGAGGGACCCGTCGGTCAAGCGACACGACATTGTTTTTGTCAAGGATCCCCAAGACCATCGTGCGCAGCGCAAAACACTCTCTCATGCATTCAGTGCCAAGGCTCTGAGAGACAACGAGGAGTCTGTCCAGACGCATGTGAAGTTGCTTATGGACCGATTGGAGCACCGTGCTGGGCCTGGGTCAGACGGAGCCAACATGTGTGACGTCTTCAACTGGTTGACATTTGACATTATTGGTAGGTCAATCTTCTCAAGATGACCAAACATTCACTAATCATGTTCAGGCGACTTGGCATTTGGCGAATCCTTCAACTCAGTCTCAAACTGGGAAGCGAGCATCTGGGTCTCACTTATTCTAAGCTTTCTCTACCAAGCAACATTCATGCCACTACTTAACCGTCTTGGCATTCCCATATCCCTATTCGAAAACATCATCCCCAAATCAATGAAGGAGAAACTAAACCATCATGACAAGCTTACGATGGAAAAGGTTAAGCGAAGAGTTGAGATGGGAAGTACACGAGACCGTGAAGATTTCTTTACCCATCTTCTTCAAAGAGAAAAGGGGGAACCGGATTTCATGTGGCTACGTGAGCAAGCCAAGATCCTCATTCTAGCTGGGTCTGAGACCACGGCAAACTTGATGGCTGGTGCGACTTTATATTTGTGCAGAAACCCTGATAAGATGGCCAAGCTTCAACATGAGATACGCTCTGCGTTCTCGTCTCGGGATGAGATCACGGGTGATTCTACGGCTAATCTTGAGTACTTCAACGCCGTTATCGAAGAAAGTCTCCGAATCTTCCCACCCGTTCCTTTCGGTCTTCCAAGAGTCAGCACTGGCGGTATAGTTGACGGACACTACATTCCCGCCGGAACAGTGGTATCAGTGGACAATTGGGCAACAACTCATGATGAGCGCAACTTTAGTCGGCCGAGAGAGTTCATTCCTGAGCGATGGATTGGATCAGGCTTCGGCGACCGGAAGGAAGCCAGTCGACCATTCACACTTGGTCCTCGGGGTTGTCTAGGTATCAATCTTGCGTACATGGAGGCCAGAATTACGCTGGCTTCGCTGGTATATGCCTTTGATTGGGAGATGGTGAATACTGAGGTCGATTGGGATAAGGACGTCCGGTTCTATACTGCCTGGCAGAAGCCAAAGCTAATGATCCGGTATCGTCCTCGCGCTGAGGAAAAGGGTTACTAGCCTTGCCTAACAGTAAGGGCAAATCAATATGTCATATCTCGTAACTCAGTTCCCGGGATGCTTGTTCTCGTTTTGCAACACCAAGTTACTGTTTTGTCAACCAGATCGGCGATGCTCATACTATTATGCATTTTTCATAATCGTTACCAACCCGCAAATTTAACTTCTTTATAAATAGTGAAGCTAGTCACCGGTAGTTCAATTTCGGTGTTGAAACTTACCAAGGTCAAGCGCTAATTTCGATCTTCAAGCCACACCGACGTGGCGCCCTCCACTTACACTCACTAATGCACAGCTGATCGTTGATTGCAAAGCGGAATTTGGCCACAGGACTTGGGCGAGTGACAGACTAATCAAGCGTGTCGTCGTCAGAGGCGTTAGGATAATTTGATGATACGCAGGGGTAGCGCTGAATGTATCAGGAACGTGCTGGTAAGTGCAATTTAAACATCACATTGAGCGAAAGGAGAAGCATCGAGTGGAAGAAAAAGTTCTATACGTTAAATTAAATGACTGTGGTATCATAACTATGCAAAAAAGATCATCTATAGCACCTGCTTATCTGCCTTGAGTCTAGCGATCAGCGTAGGCAGGTCAACATCCTGAACGCTAACACCCTGATCAATAGCAAGACACGCCGCCGTAGCAGCGCTCTGGCCAAGGACCATATACGTAGGCTCCATGCGAATAGCAGAGTATGCAATATGTGTAGCACTCATGGTAACAGGGTTGAGGAAGTTTGTTGCATCCTCAGACTTGGGGCAGATGGTCTGGTAGGGAATGTTGAAGGGACCTGGGGTAGCGATATGCACCTTGCCTTCGTCCCGAAGCTTGCCATCGACGACGACACGCTCAACCTGATGGACGTCGAGAGAGTAGGCGCCCTTACCAACACTGTTGTTGGGACGAGCGGGAGGAGACTGGATGTCGCTTTGGCGCATGGTGTAGATACCGTTCATGCGACGACCCTCACGGATGTAGATCTCGTAGGGCCAGTTGTTGTTGCTTGACCATTCATCCTTGGCGTATCCCCATTCAGCGACGCGGGTGCGAAGATCCTTGGGAACACGAGGATGGTTGGCCAAAGTCCAGAAGAAACCTTGAGTGTAAGACTTGTGCTGAAGGTAAACCTGGCGACGTCTATCATAAGACCAAGTAGCGTAGTTGCCGTCATCCTCAAAGCTCTCGCCGATAAGATCAGTGCTAACGTGGCTCTGGGCGTTGGAGTCGGTCTTGACGTTGGGCATAAGTTGGCTGGTGAAGGGAGTGCCGGTGTAGCCCGACTCAAAGTATCGCAGGAGCAATTCATACTGAGACTCCCGGTAATCGGCGGGCTTGGTGAAAGGGATTTGATTGGCGGTTTGCTTGGTAAGACTCATGCGGAAGTTGTAGGACTGGAGACGGAACTCATCGCCCTTGCCCTGAAGAGAAGCGGCATCCTTGATGATGCGGCCAACACCCTCAATAAGCCCGCTGCTTGGGTCACCCTTCTTCTTATAAGGGTCGACCTTGGAAAGCTGCTCGAGGGCACCGAGACGGAAACCAGCGACAGACTCACTGTAGTCACCTGTGCTCTCACGACCGGTGCGCCAGCTAATCTTGGCTGCCTCCATCAGGTCACCCTCGTAGCTAGCATCGATGAACATCTTGCCCTGGAAGACATCGCCATTGAGAGTCTTGAAAGAGGTGATTTGACCATTCTTCTTGACAACGCTGCCGGCGGATCTGTCGATGGCTCGGTTGCGGAAGAGGGGGATCTTGCCATCCTTCATCCACTTCTCAAGGATATACTCAGCCGCCTTGGGCTCAAAGGTCCACTGGACCTTCTTGCTCTCGTCAATAGCAGGACCGGGCTGAGCGCCAATCCTTCGCCCCAGGTATCCAGAGCGAGTTTCCTGCTTCCATGCGTTGCTGTTCTGATAATGAGTATAGACCTTGGCGTAAAACTCTCTTGCAATGCCACCGATGGCGTTTCCGTTCTTGGAATCTGTCCAGCCAAGGCCTGATGTTGTAAGGCCGCCCAACGTGTTGCCGGGGAAGACAATGGCCACTGTCTTCTTCATGCGCTTAGTCTGCACAGCAGCCGCAATAGCGGCGACTGTGTTGCCGTAGATGACCACATCATATTTGCCGGGGACGTCTGCTCTCTCATGCGGTGCTGCGGTGGTCATGAGCATGAGATACGACGCCATATAGATGGTGCCGATAAGCAGGAGGAGCCTGTTTCTGAAGAGAGCTGCCATGATTGTTAATGGATGAACACGAGCTGGCTACTCGGATCGGAAATAGAGGGGGATGAAATAAGGTAAATAAGGTCTCGGGGCAAAAGAGTGGCTTGCAGGTCGGTTGGTCCTCAAAGAAAGCCCACGCAGGAACAAAGTTCAAGTTGAAGATAACAAGGGCTTTATGAGAGGTCTTCAAAGAAACATGGCTTGCGGGAAGTGGATCAAGTGTGCATGCCAAAGTAGTCTCTCACAGAAAGGAAATAGGTTTCGTATTTCTAGGGGACGGGAGAGTATTGTAATTTGGGCCAGAAGAGGTACTGAGCTGGGGTTGGTCTAGAACATTGGGCTAGCATATCTAACCGACGGGAGAGTTCTTCTCCTGCGGTACAGCGCCAGAAGGAAGCTAATCCCCAATGAAGAGAAATACCGCGACTTGGGTAAATCTGATATCGCGTGGCACTGTTTCTACGACAAGGGAGACTCAAGAGTGTGCAAGGCTGTGTTCACTCACACCCCCCTTACACCAAACTATCGAAAGCACTATTGGTGGATCGACAAAAAGAAAGCGACCAAAAAAAGAAGAACGACTTAAACTCACATTGGCCAAGTAGCTTGAAAGGATGCACCCAGATCCTCGAGGGTCTGAGTGTCTGAGCTTCTAAATCGAGGTCGGACCTGGTAAATTGAGCACGCAGACTCCGTAGAATACTACTCATGGTGAGGCCTGGACCCTTGGCTAAGATGGGTAAGGGCCGGGCGTAGGGCCTGCCAGGGGTAAAGCACTGTAATGATCTGTGCGAAAGAGAATGGGGGGGGAGACAATGAGACGTTGAAGATCTCGGCCCTGGCTGATGGGTCAGAGAGAAAGAAAAGGAGTGGAACGGGGCCCGGACTATCAACTGTTGCGCCGTCCAGTCAGGCACCTAAAAGGGACATGAACGCTAAATTGGTGGCTTTTACCCCTGTATCTCTGAGATCTCGACCTAAACTTGATTCGAACAAGAACCACATTCCTCAGTCAGGACAGGCACTGGCGACCTCGTAAAAGAAAATCCCCTCATTTCTTTTCTTTACTATCAGTCATTTTCTCAAATTCGCCTGAACTCAATCATATGTCATCGTGTCGCCTTTAATTAAATGCTCGATTCACTTAAATAGACTTCCCGTTTCACTTCCCCGTTGCTTTCTATCTCCTTGAATGTCGATCCGCTCGCTTACAACGTTGGCCACCTCTTGGCACACTAAATAGCTCACGATGTCTTCATTCATCCTTCTCGGCTCTTCCTCTTTGCGCTTTGGTCAGCTTACAGCCCATGCTCCTCTTTGCCCGCTGTCGCCGTTGAAGCAAGAAGCTTGGTAGAGCTGTAGACGTTCCAGGCCATTCATCATTTGGCCGAACCAATAAGCCTTGCCCAGCACCCAATAGCGCATTTCTTACCGCTCGATGGTTTCTTCAGTGGAGCGTGTTGGTTCCGCCATCATAACATCCCCAGCCGAGGCTGTTCTAGAGCAAAAGAGTTCCATTCCTCAGCATTCGCACAAACCAGGCAGCCTAGGATAAGGCGAAAAATTGATCGTCAATTCTTTGTCTTTGTTCGGGAATGCCGGCGATCAATTGTTGGCTTTAATGCCAATAGTTTATTTAGAGCCTCTCCTTCAGCTGCTCTGTTCACTTTACCGCCCATTCTGATCACCACTTCCGTTGGGCACGAGGCAAGTCATCAGCCAGCCGCACTCTAACTATTAGTCAATAACCTAAAATGATCGCCTGGCGCATTGCAGTTTTCGTAGCCCTGCAATTCGCAATGCGAGCCCAATAGACCCTGCATCTGCTTTATCATTGCCAGCCGCAATCAATTAATGACTCTTACGTGTACCATCATGCAGTTCTTACCACCAATTGTAGCAACCATCACATTCTACTGACGGCCAAGAAGATAAAGCGACAAGGCTTTTGTGCTGTCTTTTCCTCGTTCGGTTAGCCTTATCAGGGGCACTTTAATTGGGCGCGTCGCGATTTCTGTACCTCCAGGGCACAGCGTCAGATGCCCTGACCTAGCCGATGATCCTCGGAGAAGCGGGCTAACTATACTGGCGATTACTGTTACGGAGTATGAAAAGTAGAATATAAGAGGATCGCAATACGAGGCTTTGTCTTGGCATAATAAGCTTAAAGATCTTTGCGGTCCAAGCGGGATGGCGTTTTCAGCCGGACGGGTGTAGAAAAGGAATTATCAGTCATATGACATCTTGCTTCTGCAGAAGTAGCCTCGTGCATCAAAAGATAATGAAGGATGTAATGCCAAGATGGGATTGTGGACTTGAAAATTGCATAGCCCTGATGAACATCGGTCACTTCCATATTCAGAAAGGCAGCTGTTCTTCCGTACGGAGCAGGTTTCGAGAGTAAGACGGGCGAACTTGTGATAAAAGGAGTCACTTCTAGATAGCTTGGTAGATGCCCATTGTTGCTGTGTATTAGTAATGATCGCTTTGTAAATCGTCGCTGCAAGGCTTTCAAGTGGGAGCGTTCTCGCTTGGCTGCGGGGGGATATGCATCCATGTTCCAACAGGATCCCAACCGAGCGGATAGAGGAGTGCCAAGAATTCCTTTGTTGACATATACTCTGTGTCTATCTGAGCAGATGAAGTCTTGATTGGTGATAACGATGTTGGCTGTACGTCATGAAACGCTCCTCTTTGGTGACCGACATTTCTTGATTGACAGAATGCTCTTGACAGAGGATTGGAATCATAAGATCCCAATAGCGGAAGTTTCTACATCTTCGCAAGCCCATACGTGTTCATCTTGGCTGAGCAAGACCATCTCCGATGGCTTGTCGAGGCGACATTTCCAGTTCCATTGCTCTTGATGAATGATCCAGCGTTTCGTAATTCTTTTCCAAGCTTGAATATCGATTAAGTCCCGCATTTACTCAGATGTTCTTCCTCGCTAGAGGAACAGTTTGTAGGCCGAAAGCTCCTCGCCCAGACTATCATGCTGCACCATCAAAAGTATCTCTCGCAGGAATTGTGTACAGTGTTTGGGTTAGTAGCGGATTCTTCACCGTTACGACCAGGTCTGGTACACGGGGACTCTCATTTTCCAAACTGCTGTGTAGATAATATTGTCTTTTGTAGCTATTCCATGATACTTACCCATTGTTCAGAAGCTGGGTTGCCTATTGTCAGCACTTGTGTGTCGTGACTAGACTCTGGTCATTTTCCCACCAAACGGCAGCAGAGACACATTCGAGTACATCGCTTGGATGAATCAGTCGAGTGGAGTGGCTTCCGAAAGCTAGTAGAGGTCTCATAGGCCCTTCACGGAAGCTCGTGGTCGTGCTGATGGGGCTATCTCGAAGACGTGTAGAGGCCGTCTGCATCTATATGAGAGCATCTAACATCAAACCAAGCACATACGACCATACCTA